TTTCCAGAATTCTCTGATGCTAGTATATAACACACACACACTTTCCGGGAACAAGTTCTTTGACAGTTTCTGATTCTAGCCTCTCAACTTTTTTTTTTGACAGGTAGAGTTATAAACAATGAGAGAGAGACAGAGAGAAAGGTCTTCCTTCCTTTGGTTCACCCCCCAAATGGCCGCCACGGCCGGCGCTACGCCCATCTGAAGCCAGGAGCCAGGTGCTTCTTCCTGGTCTGCCATGTGGGTGCAGGGGCCCACTGCCTTTCTGGGCCATAGCAAAGAGCTGGACTGGAAAAGGAGCAGCCAGGACTAGAACCGGCGCCTATATGGGATGCCGGCGCCACAGGCGGAGGATTAACCAAGTGAGCCACGGTGCCGGCCTCTAGCCTCTCAACTTCCTAATTAAGTTGTTCCTCAAGTGTGGTCCTTGGACCAACAGGCATCAGCATCACCTGGGTCTAGGAGACTACAGATGCTTGAGCGATAAGAGTCAGAAACTCTGGAGGTAGAACCCAGCAATGCTTTGTTTTCCAAGATTTATTTATCTGAAAAGCAGAGTGACACAGAGTGAGAGAGAAGGAGAGATGCCCACAGATGGCCAGGACGTGGCCAGGCCAAAGCCAGGAGCCAGAAATTCTATTCATGTCTCCCATGTAGGCAGCAGGACTCAAGTACCTGAGCCATCACCTGCTGCCTCCTAGGTGCACTGGCAGGAAGTTGGATCAGAAGCAGTCGCCAGGACTTGAACCAGGCACTCTGATACAGGATGCAGGCATCCCGTGGGCCATCTTCCGCTGCTTTCCCAGGCGCATTTATAGGGAGCTGGATCTGAAGTGGAGCAGATGCGACACAAACTGGTGCCCACATGGGATGCCAGCATCACAGGCGGCAGTTTAACCCACTGCACCACAGCACCTGCCCCTGCAGTACAGGTTTTAATAAGCTCTCCAGAACCACGGATCTAATGCAGTCAAGTCTCCGTGTTTCACAGTTCTCTAAGTATGGCAGGCATTGTTATCTTGTCTGTTTTACCACTCACTTCAAAATGTCTTCCTTGCCCTTTTATTGAAGCTGACCTTATCAATTTGTCACAGTCCAGAAAGTCCTAACTTGTCCCCAAAGTGCTCTCGCTACCACAGCTCATACTGACCCCTTGGTCCCTTCCCCAACTCCCATGATATACCTAGTCCTTCTACCATAAAATTTTTTTTTTTTTTGGACAGGCAGAGTGGACAGTGAGAGAGAGAGAGAGAGAGAAAGGTCTTCCTTTGCCGTTGGTTCACCCTCCAATGGCCGCCACGGCTGGCGCGCTGCGGCTGGCGCACCGCGCTGATCTGATGGCAGGAGCCAGGTACTTATCCTGGTCTCCCATGGGGTGCAGGGCCCAAGCACTTGGGCCATCCTCCACTGCACTCCCGGGCCACAGCAGAGAGCTGGCCTGGAAGAGGGGCAATCAGGACAGAATCCGGCGCCCCAACCGGGACTAGAACCCAGTGTGCCGGCACCGCAAGGCGGAGGATTAGCCTAGTGAGCCGCGGCGCCGGCCTCTACCATAAAATTTAACAATTAAATATTGGAGGTCATCAAAACTTTCACGGAAAAATATTTTGTGAAAAAGTATGCATGAATTTTAAAATTTGTATATCAAAATAAACATCTCTATTCCATTTTCCAAAGCTCCTTGTGCTCAACGTCAGGGAATAGTTCTTTACTCTTCCTCAGTAGACCATAAGCTCTTTGGAGACATGAATTATATTTTTTAGACCTGTTACCCCATCCCTTTTCTAGGTACACAAATGGAATTTTAATACAGTTGCTGGTTAATGTCTTTAAGATTTAGTTCACTGAGAGAAGAAATACCAATAAACCTTTCATGAACAAAAAGTCTTGAGTTTCAGGGCAGGCATTTGATGTAGCAGTTGGGACACCACTTGGGACTCGCTCATCCCATAGTGGAGTCCCTGAGGTTGAATCCCAGCTCTGCTTCTGACGCCAGCGCCCTGCTAATGCGCACACTGGAAGGCAGTGATGGCTCAAGCACTTGGTTCCCTGCCACCCACATATGAGACCCGGAGAGAGCTCCTGATTTTGTTCTGGACCAGCCCAGGCTGCTGAAGCATTTGGGCAGTGATGAGCACATGGAAGAGCTCTGTCTCTGCTTTCTCTGTCGCCCTGCCTTTCAAAGCTTGAAAAAAATAAACAAAAACTCAGAAGTCTGTACAGCCCCAGCACTGTAGCACAGTGGGTTAAGCCACCACTTGTAATACTTACTGGTTTGAGCCCTGGTTGCCCCGCTTTAGATCCAACTTCCTGCTAATGTACCCAGGAAGGCAGTGGAAGATGGCCCAAGTACTTAGGCTCCTGCCACTCACATATGGGTCCCAGATCTGCCTGTTGCAGCCATTTGGGGAGTGAACCAATAGACAGAAGACTTCTCTCTCTCTCTGTTGCTCTGCCTTTCAAATAAATAAATTTAAATAAATACATAAATAAATAAAGTTTGTATTCCTAGTTCTGCAACCTTGGACAAGTTCACTTCTCAGAGTGATGGCTACAAAAGTGAAAAAGATGGACATAAAGCTTCTGTTCAACTTGAGTAATACCTGATTGTATGAAATATCTTATTCCATAATACAAGCACATTACTTTGCTTGCATTAGTAACAAGGTCATTTCTAGACTGACTTAGTTAGAATATGGTATTTCCAGAGCCGGCACTGTGGCATAGCAGGTAAAGCCACCACCTGCAGTGCTGGCATCCCAAATGGGCACCAGTTCGAGTCCTGGCTGCTCCACTTCTGATCCAACTCTCTTCTGTGGCCTGGGAAAGCAGCAGCAGATGGCCCAAATCCTTGGGCCCCTGCACCCACGTGGGAGACCCGGAAGAAGCTCCTGGCCCCTGCCTTCGCATCTCCTCAGCTCTGGCCATTGCGGCTAACTGGGAAGTGAACCAGTGGATAGAAGACCTCTCTCTCTCTCTCTCTCTCTCTGCCTCTCTGTAACTCTGCCTTTCAAATAAATAAATAAATCTTAAAAAATATAGTATTTCCCCATCAGATAGCAAGCTCTTTCAACAGGAACCACATATTATTCAACTATGACTTTCCTACCAAACTCAGCACCACCCATGTGCAGTAACAGCTCAATATATTTGCAATTATTTGGAAAAACTCTGTATGACGACTCATTTATAGAGAGAACCTATACACTCTGCTGTCTCCTGAAGGGCCCTTTTCAGTATTTCTTAAATATTAAGAAATGATATACAATAATAACTGATTCATATCACTCCAGGTAGTCAGCTACATAAAGCAAAAGAGTACAAATGGATCTCGAATGCGCAAGGGCCACACAGCTTCATGCAACCCTACTACGACACGCAAGGCAAGCCTGCCCGGTCCACGTAAGTGGCACACGCCAACTGGGCTGTTGGGGAAAAGACAGATGTCTTCACGCAAGACCGTCATCTGCAAACTCCCAGCCACAAGGTGGACTGAGGTCTCTGAGTGGCAGGTCAGGATCAGAAGTTTAATCTAAAGGGAGGGCAGCAAAGAGGAAGTGGGGGCGAGGATGAAGAACAGGCGGGCAGCGAGACCACCACCCTTTGCGTAGTGCGAGGCAGCGCGGGAACTGCCCGAGTCTTAGAAGCTCTGCTAGGAGCGAGGCTTCGGGGGCTGCAAAGATGGCCCCCTTCCGCAAGGGCACGACTGGGAACCTCAAGTCGAGGGCTCATAGGGAAGGTGGTGACTTAGTGGAGTCTTTGAAGTGTGGAGGAGGATTTGCTAAGGGAGAAAAAAGGCAGCCTGAACTAGTTATTTTGGGGGTGAAACAGTCACATATTTTTACAGCTGCTCACTTGGGACTTTACATGGAGGGAGGCTCCCTAAGGAGCCTCGGCACCCCGGGTCGGTGCTCTTTCTCTTTTTATCTTAAATACCAAAATGCTCAAGCCCAGCTGGAGCTGAGCCAGGAAATCCCAGGACGAGGTGAGCGCTAGTCCAATCTGCTCTGTCACCGGCAAGCCCAGCCAGCCCGGGGAGCCCAGACCTGCTGTCCTGGAAGCTGGGAGAGGAAGGCTCACCGCACGCTCTGGGGGCTCCCGGGTGGGGCGGGGGGGGGCAGTCCGGATGCAGGCAGGCATCGCCGGGAGCTGCCACCCAGAGCTTCCCCGCTCCCGAACTGGGAGGCTCCCGGTCCACCTGTGACAGGGAGGCCAGCTCTGCAGGGGGGGAATGGGGGGGGGAGGCAGTGGACTGCGAAGCCCTGTGGTATTAAGGGAGATCATCTTAACAAAATGCTTAGCAAGATCCCAGCACACAGCAAGCACGCTACTGTCATTATTATCCTCATTACAGCAACACCTCCATTGCACTCCGACAGCAAGAAGACACCCGATCTGTAGCCTGCTTTAGCGACGTTTAAGAACAATTTTCGAGGTAACAAGTGCATTTCAAAAAAAAAAAAAAAAAAAAATTTAAGGTCCGAGATCAAATTCCAAGTGCACTGGCCCCAGAGCCGGCAGAGCCACTTGTCAGCCGCGTGACCTTGGAAACCGCACTTCGCCTCTCCGTGCCTCAGTTTCCTCCGCTGCCTTAAAGTGGAGCTCAGAGGCCAATCTCCCACCAGGTGGTCGCGGGGTCCCGCCCCCGGGTGCCCGCTGCCGCTTCGGGCCTGCACGGGTGCAAGGAGAGCCCGCGGCCCACCGAGCTCCGCCACCCGCACAGCGGGAGAAGGGGTCGCACTCGCAGGGGGTCCCCGCGGCCCCGGGTCCGGGCGGCGCCCGGAGAGGATGCAAGCAGGTGGGCACCGGGAGCGGCCGAGGGGGGCCGGGCTGACCCAGGTCCGGAGTGCGGGCGGGGTGGAGGGCTCCGGGGGCTCGACGGAGGCTGGCAGCGCCGGCCCCCAGCCCCCGCCGCGCGGCGCACACGAGGCGGGGAAGAAGAGAGACGCCCCCGCATGCGGCGCCGCGCGCCCCCCGGGGGCCGGGCTGAGGCGCTCACTCACCTGAGGCGCGGGCACCCGCCGTCAGTGCAGCAGCGGCGGCGGCGGCGGCGGCGGCGAGAGGGGCGGGGGAGGCGCTGCGGCCGCGCAGGCGCGCTGAGGATGCCGGGGCCGCGCAGGCGCGCCGCTCCTGCCTGCCTCGGGAACTACCGAGAAGATGGTGGCGGCGCTGGGGAAAGCCTGGGGCGCCATCTTGGATGTAGTTTCTCTTGCTGCGGAGTCGGCTGAAATCTGAATCGGAGCGGCCAAGGTACGTGCGGCCACAGCCTCCTCCCCTTCTCCGAGTCCCGTCCCCACGAAGGCCGCAGGAAGCCTCGCAGAGTGTCATCCTCTTCCTAAGGCGGTCCAGAGACGCAGCCGAAGCCACAGGGCGCGTGGAAGAAGGCTTACTGACCAGTGAGTGGACGCAGTAAACAAAATCGAAACCCAAGACTTGGGGCTCCTAACACCTAGGGCTGTGCCAGGACCCCTGGCGCTGCGCTGCCCCTCCCTGGAGGATGGCCCACGCGAAGCGTAATTATCTATTTAAATAATAACGCCGAAACGTGCAGGACACAATTTCTCCCCTAAAGGGCTTATTTATTATTGATTGATTATACAAGTAACACTGCTAAAAGTGATATTCTTTTAACAAAATCAGGGAAAAAGGAACAAATAAATATCAACAGACCTCCCAGAGGGCAGTGGTAACACTGCTATTCACCGAGGACAATTCCTGAGCCAAACTTGAGTAAAGCTATTATCAATTAAGCACAGCCCTTTGTTATACTGCTAACATTTACTGAGTGCCATACTGGTTCTAGTCCACTCTGCTACTCTATGTCCTCAGTAAGCTATCTATGCTTGTGTTCCTCATCACAATAAAAAAATTGTTAAGTTATGAGACTGTGGTAAGGACTAAATAGTATGCATATAAAATGCTTAGAGTCCAATACTCCCTTTGTTCTATCATATGTAGCTGTTGAAAACAATCTAAACATTTATCTGAAAGGGGGAGAGAGAGAAAATCAATGTCTTCTCTGCTGGTTCACTCCCCACATGGCCTCAACAGCCTGGGCCCAGCCAGATCTACGTGGGTGGCACTGGGTGGTTCCGAGTATGGGGAGCTGCTTCCCCTTGTCAGTGTACTGCTCAGTACAGAAATAGAGTAAAGTCCCAAAGAGAGTGCAAAAGCAAAAAGCAGGTTCATTTACAGTAAGTGACAAAAGCTAAGCCTGGTGGGTTGGCCTCCTTCATGTAATTTTCTCCTTCCTCCCCCCTTATCAGTAACATCCTGGCCCTTCACCTGCTGCATTCAGTAGGAGGTTGTATTTGGATTGACTTCCCAGTCTATTAACTCAAAGGGGTGGGTAATTGGATTCTCCAGAGGGAGTTTTCTAGAATTTGCCCAAGATCCACTTTCTTTTTCCTAACTGCCTCAGAGACCTTTTTCCTTATACCAAGGTTCCAAGTACTTGGGCCATCCTCAGCTTCCTCCCCAGGCACATGCGCAGGAAGCTGGATCATAAGCTGAGCAGGCAGGATTCAAATGCAGACTGATAGGGGACGTCAGCTTCACAAGTTGTGGCTTAACTTGCTGCATCATGTCAGCTCCTTAAGCACACTTCTTATCCTTGATTTTTAAAAAATCCTTATAAAAATGCAATACAATGTAACAAATACAATGGAGAAAGGTATAATCACCTTTGGAGAAGTGATTTATCCCCGTTTTTACAGCTGAGGAAAAGAAATTGGGGTTGGCACTGTGGTGTAGCGGGTAAAGCATCCCATATGGGCGCCAGTTTGAGTCCTGGCTGCTCCACTTCCGATCCAGCTCTCTGCTGTGGCCTGGGAAAGCAGTGGAAGATGGTCCGAGTCCTTGGGCCCCTGCACCCATGTAGGAGACCCCGAAGAAGCTCCTGGCTCCTGCCTTCAGATCGATGCAGTTCCGGCCGTTGCGGCCAATTGAGGAGTGAACCAGTGGATGGAAGACCTCTCTCTCTCTCTCTCCGCCTCTCCTCTCTCTGTGTAACTCTTTCAAATAAATACATGAATAAATCTTTAAAAAGGAAATGAAGATTCACTGCAAACTCCATGCTCTCTCCACGACACTATTCTGCTTCTGAAAGAGCAGGCAGTTAATGCCACTCCCGATTTTGTTTGTTTAAATTTATTTATTTATTTGAAAGTCAGAGCTAGCGAGATTGAGATCAATCTCCCACCTACTGGTTCAGTCCCCAAATGGTTGCAACAGCCAGGGCTGGCTCAGGTGGAAGCCAGTAACTTCATCCAAGTCTCCCACAGGGTGGCAGGGGTTCAAGCGCTTGGGCCATCTTCTACTGCTTTTCTGAGCTAGATCAGAAGTAGAGCAGCGAGAACAGGAACCAGCGCCCATATGGGATGCCGGTGTCACAGGTGGTGGCTTACCTGCTACACCACAACACTGGCCCCTACTCCTGATTCTTAAATGCTGGTTTTCTGCGAGGCTGGCCAACATTTCCCGTCTTGCTCTACTCAGCAGAGTACACGCATTATCCATTTTCAAGTCTTCAGTAATTACACATCAGTAATTCTCAAATTTTGCCTCATGTCCAGACTTCTCTACCCAGTTCTCTACTTGTACACCAGACAGTCTAGTGGACATCCCATCTGGTACCTCAGCTTCCCCATTTCATTAACTGGCCCGAGCTGAACCAGTTGCTCAAGCCTCCAGCACTGCAGCTTGTCGATACCCCAGGGTTAATCTTGCATTACTTAATTTCATCTTTATAGCATCCCTGTGATAGAGTGTCTGTTATTCTTCCAACCTTACAGACAGGAGGTTAAATACCTTTTGCTCAATCATAGCAAGTGAGACAAGAGTTCTATCCATGGGTTTACTCCGCAAATGCCCACAACAGCAGGGCTGAGCCAGGCCACAGCCAGGATACCAGAACCCAGTCAGGTCTCTCATGTGGGTGGCAGGGCCCCACCTGCTGCCTCCCAGGGTACACATTAGTAGGAAGCTGGGTTGGTAGCAGAGGACTGTCACTCTGAAGCAGGTGTCCCAGTGGCATCTGAACTGCAGCAAACTGCCATGCTGAAGTTAGTTTTTAATAGGTCATATGCTACATGTTCCAGACACCACGAGCAACACAGGCAGTCCCACCCCGCTCCTGCACTGCCGACACTTAGCACAAGCTGTCATCTCTCACGCAGATCACTGCAGTAGCCCAGTGCTTTCTCCCACTTTTTTTTACACCTCGCTTGCTTCTATTTCTCACAGCAGCTGCAGCGAGCCTTTAAAAATGTTTTGAGCCTCTTTGTTCTTAGAGCCTTGTAATAACTCTCTATTATCCTTACCCCAGGTCACCCCTCCACTGGTGCTCAGCACTCCTGTCTAGTCTTTTGTTAGTGTCCCAGAATGCTCCACTTGCCCTCTCTCCTTCAGCCTTTGGAAATGCTACTCCTTTTGCCTGAAATACTCACTCCATTTAACTCCATCCTTCCTAAGTCAGCTAAAACATCTCTTCCGTGGAGCTTCCTCTTCGTTTCTTGGATCTCAAAGACAGTGAGCATCGCAAGCATCTGTGTTGTGGTCTCTTCCGGGTTCCTAGAACTGAACCCAGCAGGGACTTGGGAATATGAGCACACCAATGAATAAATAACAAAAGTATGTCGAAGCAAGGAGAAAGGGCAGGCATTGTGGCACAGAGGTTAAGCTGTTGCTTGGGACACCCACATCCCGTATTTAGGTGCCTGGCGCAAGTCCTGGCTTCACTTCCAACCCAGCAGCTTCCTGCTAATGGCATCCAGGGAGGCAGCAGATGGTGGTTCAAGTGCTTGGGGCCCTGCCATCCATATCGGAGACCTGGATGGAGTTCTGGGCTCCTGGCTTGGATCTGGCCCAGGCCTCACTGTTGCAGGCATTTGGGAAGTGAACCAACAGATGCAAGATCTCTTCGTGTTGCTCTGCCTTTCAACCATATGAAAATAAATTTTTGCTTTTTCAAAAGATGCAAGGGGCCAGCATTGTGGCACGGTGGGTTGGGCCACCACCAGTGATGCATGGTTCCAGTTCAAGTCCTGTTGTTGTACTTTTACATAGAGAGGGAGACACAGAGAGACCTTCTACCCACTGGTTTACTTCCCAAATCTCTGCAATGGCCAGGGCTGGGCCAGGCTGAAGCCAGGAGCCCAGAGCTTCTTCTGGGTCTTCCATGTGAGTGGTAGGGGTGCACGCACTGAAGACCACTTTCCGCTGCTTCCTCAGGAGCATCCGCAGGGAGCTGGAACGGAAGTGGAACAGCCAGGCCTTGAACTGGTGCCCATAGGGGATACCAGTGTCCGACTTCAGCTTCACCTGCTACACCACAACACTGGCCTCCTGTACTTGTTGCAGCTGTTTTGGGAGTGAACCAGCAGATGGACGATCTGTCTCTTTCTCTCTATAACTTTGCCTTTCAAATAAAACATATCAATCTTTAAAAAAATTTAAAATGTTTCTAACTCTGTCAAATTAAAAAAAAGATAAATTAAAAATGCAAGGCGATATCACCTCTCCCTGGTGCTTGGGCCAACATTTAAGATTTATTTATTTGAGATGCAGAGTTACAGACAAGAGAGAGGGAGAGAGAGAAAAAGGTCTTACATCCACTGGCTTACTCCCTAAATGGCCAGCAGATAGGAGCTCTCTGTCTGTTCTATGAAATAATAATAATGTAAAAAATGTTTATGCTCAAAACATACACAAAGCAAGGGAAAACTTTAATTGCATGCACTAGTGCAATGCAGATTATTCACAAATACAAAGAACAATTAATAGTAGTACCGATCCTCTTCTTGCCATGAATTTAGAATTCTGGAGGCCAACTGGCTGTTAAAAAGTAAAGCACGAATGACATGGAGAAAAGAATGAGCGGAGCTCCCTTCCAAGCGGATGCCTCGCAAAGACACATGCATTTCCCAACAGTGGAGACTCAGCTCCTCATCTCTGACCACTTTCACAGCCGTGCTGGAAAACCAGTCTTATTCCTTTAGGACCAGAACCCAACTCAGCTCCTAACGTGTTTCATTATACTTGGTCCTAAATGTCTGGATTGCAAAGCCTGAAGAACAGCATGAAGATTTCTGACCACGAAGGACACTTGAGAAACTGGACCCCTAGTTCCCAAGGTCACCTCAAACAAGCTTCAAGATTTTGCACATTCCTGGAAAAGCTGTCTCTGTAACGTTCCTCAGGATGCATAAATTCCATCACTTTTAGAATAAAGTCCAAGTGCTCTCCATTCAGCCCGTTATCCTCAAGAGGGACTGGGCAGAAGTCTCCAGCTCAGACTGGCACGCAGTCGCCATGTGCTGGGCCACTCTTCTCATCCTCTTCCCTGACTGTCTCGGGGCAGAAGAGCCGCCTGCGGTCACTGACGAGGTCTAGAGCCACGTGTGGTGGGCGGGCTCTGGAGGTGAAGCCTGAGCAGTTTCCGAGCTGGAGAGGAATCCAGCTGCTGCATGCTTTTCTTCTCTGCAGAGGAAAGGAGCCAAAACAGACTGCAATTGAATTCACATGACACGTGCTGCTAACAGACTGTGTGGACACTGTGCCAGGCACTGAGGGGCATTACCGTGACAAACAGGAGCATCTCTGACCTCAGGACAGGGCAGTCTGGGTGGGAAAGCCAGTCACCACTACCACCACGACACACACAGCACACACGAGACACATACGAGAAGGATGGTTGTACAGCAGAGAACGCGGGGCTGCAGGTCAGGAAAAGTGACAGCGGAGCAGCAGCAGTGGTACTCAGTGCATTCTTGAAACAGAGAGAGGGATTAGGCAATGGGAATTTCTTAAGCCTTGGGCTCACCAAAACAACACCATACTTATGGAGAGAGTCTACTGTGCTTTTGTGAAATTGACACTGGGAAGTTCTCACTGACTCTGAGTACCCACAACATCCAACTTATTGTGGAGAGAAAAACAAATCACCAGAGTGAGACGGAGAGAGGTCTTGCCCTCTGGGACTGTATGCTTTGATGGGCAGGTTGCATCCCAGTGCTATCAGACAGAAAACAGCCCGAGCCTGGTGCCCTCAGAGACACTTACCGAGCTGTACTGACACCTTCTGGAGGCACTGGGTACTTTCATCCATAAAGGCCTGCAGCTGCCTCACGGATCCTTGCAGTTCGTCCATCTGCAGACCAAAGAGCTGTGAGGCCACCAAGGCCCAGGCTTCTCTGCTGTTCCTGGAACCCACCGCGCAAGCTCCTGCTCAGGAGCCTGGCTTGCTATTCTCTCAGCCTGCAGTGCTGCACCATGCGTTTCATGTTTGCTCCTCCAGAGCCACATCACACTCTTCTCCTGGCCGCTCTCTGGCCAAGGAAGCCCACCCCCCTTGATCTCTGCCAACAGGATGCCAGGTCATGACTTCTGGTGAGCTGTGGCCAAGAAGGAGCACAAACGGGAGGGAGCAGAAAGAGGTCAGACCCAGTCTATCTTTTAAGAAAGAAAAAAATATTTTATTTATTTTAAAGGCAGAGAGAGAAAAAAAGAACTCTTCCATCCATTGTTTCACTCCCCAAATGGCCACAACAACTAGGTTTGGGCCATGTCAAAGCTAGGAGCCATGGGGCTGGCGCTGTGGCACAGTGGGTTAAAGCCCCAGCCTGTAGCACCGGCATCTCATATGGGCACCAGTTCGAGTCCGGGCTGCTCCTCTTCCAATCCAGCTCTCTGCTATGGCCTGGGAAAGCAGTAGAAGACGGCCCAAGTCCTTGGGCCCCTGCACCCATGTGGGAGACCCAGAGGAAGCTCCTGGGTCCTGGCTTCGGATCAACTCAGCTCTGGCCATTGCAGTCATTTGGGAGTGAACCAGTGGAATGGAAGACCTCTCTCTCTGGCTCTACCTCTCTCTGTAACTCTTTCAAATAAAATAAAAATAAATCTTTAAAAAAAGGCTAGGAGCCAGGAACTCAATTCAGAGCTCACATACTTGGGCCATCTTCTGCTGCTTTCCCAGGTGCATTAGCAGGAAGCTGGATTGGAAGCATAGAGTAGCCTGGACTCAAACCAGGAACTCTGCTACGGGATGCAGGCGACCTAAGAGGAAGCTAAGCCCACTACACCACAACACCTATCCCATCAGGCTTTTAATTTCCAAGGATGACAGGGTAGCAAAGCTGATTATTAACTAAACAAACACAAGCTGACTTACCACCAACTCTATACAATCAACAACTTTGCTCTGGTTCTGCAGTATTTTCTGGTAGTCAGGTTTTGTATTAAGAACTTCACTCTGGGAAGACCCACTATACGTTGCAGGTTCCACTCTGATTTCAGTAATTTTGGATTCAGTTGATCCTCTTAAAAAAAAAAAAAAAATAGGGCTTTCAAGGAATTTTATAATCATTTTATACTCCACAACTTCCTTAAAAATTTTATTATTATTTTTCATTTTATTTGAAAAGCAAGAGACAGAGACAGACAGCTCTTCCATCCACTGGCTCACTCCTCAAATGCCTTAACAGTCAGGGCACGGCAACGGTGAAGCCAAAACCTGGAGCTCCACCTGAATCTCCGACATGGATGCAGAGCCCCAGAGTACTTGAGCCACTACCTGCCTCCTGGGATGCACGTTAGCAGGAAACTGGAATTGGAAGGCAAGCCAGAACCTGAACTGAGGCACCTTGCCATGAAACGCAGGTGTCCCAAGCACTGTGCCAAAGGCATTCCACCAAAGATTCCCTTCAAAGTAGCCACCGGGAGCTTGAGTCAGTATTCTTCCATGCTATCAGAGACCTATGGACTCTCTTCGAAACGTATGACTAGTATCAATGTTTTTATATCACTGGACTCAAAAAAATGCCAGAAACTTCAGTTTGGTTGACTCCACTTAACAATAAGGTCCCTACACAAAAAGGGTGGTAGGAAGCAGAGTGAAGCCACCACAGCTTCTATCTGAACGCAAAGGCTACAATGGCCCCTTCAATTATCTTATTAAATGAACAGAATGGCGTTCATGAGAACTGATGATGACCCTTACAGCAACTACCAGCATTTTCCAAATGTTTGGTAGGTGCCAGACATGCTAGGTACTTTCCATTCAACCTCATTTACCAAAATAACCCAATGATGTATATTATCCTTATTTTCAAATGGGAGACCCTCAGACTCAGAGATTAAGTGGCATGCCCAAGGTCACAAAACTAAGGAGTATTTAGTTAGGAGCTAAACAGACGGTCTGCTTTCAGAAATAATCCCCTTAGCATATAAGGGGTAGATTTTTATTTATTTTCACTTTCTTTAAAAGGCGCAGAGTCAGAGAGATCTCCCATCCACTGATTCACCACCTACATGCCTGGCTTTAACAGCCAGGGCCGAGCCGTTCCAAAACCAGGAGCCTGGAACTCAGCTGGCTCACCCATGTGAGTGGCGGGGACTGAAGTACTTGAGCTATCACCTGTTGTCTCCCAGGGTGCACATTAACAGGAAGCTGGAATCAGAAGGGGAGCCAGGACTCAAACCCACGCACCCCAACTTGGGATGTGGTATTTTAACTGGCTACACCAAATATCCACCCTAACACGTAAGCTTTGATACAAAAGTTTTTATTCTAAAGCTGCCATCTTACATGTTATCTATCTTCCACAAATGGAATCTGTAAGGGGTGAATAAAATGATGATCGCCATTGCTTGCACTGGGACAGTTTTGTAGAATGTGTTCCTCAAAGCCCCCCCTCTACAGAAAGACCAGTTCCGCAATTAGGGTTTTGGCTAACACTTTGTAGTTCGGTTTCTAGCCAAGATTGTTTGGATAAAAAGCTTAACCCACTGGCTTGTGTGTTCAGTTATATCAAATGCTAGCACAGTCCTATTCTGTATTGACTCAAGACCCAGACAAAGAGCCTCTCTTTCCTTACACCTTTCTCCACGGCTGCCTTTCCTGTATTTGTATCTCCACAAGGCCCTGGCCAGTGATGTCTCCCCTACCTGCAGCTCAAAGGCCATGTGCTCATTAAACTCTCCTGACCACAGTTCCTGGCCCGGTCTCAGGTTGCCACGTACAAGGCAGAGATGTGTCTGTCTCTTCCAGGATGTCAAATGGCTGCCAAGAACACAAAACAGAGACAATTCTGTTCTTGGACTAAAACCAGTGACACCAGCTCTCCCCTGCTTCTCCCTCACTGTCCATTTATGGTCAAAGAGTGCTAATCTATACTTCTCAGCATCCTGATGAGCTGACTGGCCTGTGAGAAAGAATTCATCGTTCAATTTGTGCTAAAAGAACTGAACTAAACTCAAGTCAACCCCACAGAGTAACAAGATAGCTTCTGATTCCCATTTCACAGATCTAACCTGGATATCATCTCTTCAGCCTCTTTCTGGTAGTGCAACAAGAGCTGATCCCACGTCTGACGCTCTGAAGAAAACCTACAGAACCAGAGGGAAAACAGTTCAGTTGATCATCTCATTCTGAAATACTCAGGGCAACAGTAAGCACATTAGGCATATAATCTGGTTATAAAACACAAATAAAAGATTCATTAAAGGATTAGAAAGCACAGCTGATTCAAAGGCTATTAATTTAACCAAATCAAACATGAGCACTTAAAATCAAATTAACATCTTTATTCTCTAGACTCCATTCTATAAAACTGGCAACCAGCAGAGCCCACAGAAATCTCAACATGGGGGTGGGTATTGTGGTGCTGTGGATTAAAGCTGCTGTTTGGGATGCCCACATCTCATCCCATATCGGAGTACCTGCACTTCAAGTAGATAAACATTTTTTAAAAATCAACAAATGCCACTGTTTAAAAAAAAAAACTCAATATGTAGCCTGTTTTCTTTTTAAATAAATTTTTTTTAAATATTTTTTTTAACAGGCAGAGTGGACAGTGAGAGAGACAGAGAGAAAGGTCTTCCTTTGCTGTTGGTTCACCCTCCAATGGTCACCGCAGCCGGCACGCTGCAGCCGGCACACCGTGCTGATCCGATGGTAGGAGCCAGGTACTTATCCTGGTCTCCCATGGGGTGCAGGGCCCAAGCACTTGGGCCATCCTCCACTGCACTCCCAGGCCACAGCAGAGAGCTGGCCTGGAAGAGGGGCAACCGGGACAGAATCTGGCGCCCTAACCGGGACTAGAACCCGGTATGCCAGTGCCGCAAGGCGGAGGATTAGCCTAGTAAGCCGCGGCGCCGGCAAAGATTCATTTATTTTAAAAAGCCAAACTTAGAAACAGAGATCTGCTGCTTTTCCCAGGCCATTAGCAGGGAGATGGACTGGAAATGTAGCAGCCAGGACTTGAACCACCCATATGGGATGCTGGCATCACAGGCAGTGGCTTTACCCTTTACGCCACAGTGCCAGACCCTCAGTATATAGCCTTCTAACTTCTGCTTTTGAAGCACAATATTTACCATTAACTTTACCCAGGTTTAGTTATTTTCCCAGATGGAGAACAAATTTCCCAACAAAGCTTCATTCATTTTTACTTACTTTGTTATATATTCTTTCATCTCAGCCACTGAAGTTTCCAGAGACAAATCTGATGCTTTTCTGCAAAACAGACAGAATTAAGAGATTAACACAAATCTTTAAAAAAAAAAAAAAAGCTTCTGTTTCTCTCTCTCTCTCACTGTCCACTCTGCCTGTCCAAAAAAAAAAAAAAAAAGTGGATTAGCTAGGACTAAAAACTAGCATTCTGATACAGGATGTGGGTATCCTAAGCAGTGGTATAACCTGCTGCACACAATACATGCCTCCATTTTATTTTTTAAAGATTTATTTATTTGAAAGGCAGAGTTACATAGAGAAGGACAGGCAGTGACAGTGTGAGAGAGAGACACAGAGAGAGAGAGAGAGAGAGAGAGAGAGAGAGAAAGAGGGATGGATGGAGAAAGAGGTCCTCCATTCCACTGGTTCATTCCCCAATTGGCCACAACAGCTGGAGCTGCGCTGATCTGAAGCCAGGAGCCTAGAGCTTCCTCCAGGTCTCCCCATACGGGTGCAGGGGCCCAAGGACTTGGACCATCTTCTGCTGTTTTCCCAGGCCATAGTAGAGAGCTGGACTGGAAGTGGAGCAGTCGAGACTCAAACCGGTGCCCATATGGGATGCCAGCACTGCAGGGGGCAGCTTTACTCACTATGCCACAGCATCAGCCCCAATAAATAAGTCCTAGAGAAAAAAAAAAAAAAAAAGGAAGGGAATTGCTCTTACCTTTCTGAATCTTCAAAACATCTTTGTAGAGTCCCATCACTTTCTAGTCTCTCTGTGAAATGTTTCAATTCTTCAGAAAGAGAAGACGCTGGAGAGAATAAGTTTATATATTACAAAACAGAAAGAACATCATTTTCACAAGGGGCTGCTGACAGAGACATGACATCCTGAAGGTGTCTCAGGTCTGGGACCACCGCTGCATTCTGGCTCCTCAACCACCTGACGATAGGTAGGCAGGGAGATGGTATCTTTTTCCTCCAGCAAGTACGGATAAAGTGAAAGACAATTCCTCTTCTTGACATTTGTAAGAACTGCTTTCCTGCATTACTAGTGAAAAACCAGTCAAAAAGGCATATCTGCACTGACAGTTCCCTCTTTTCAAGGGAACTGCTGGCACTGGAAGGGAAAACATTGCCGAAGATAGGCAACAGGCAAGAGTGTAATGAAAAATACTGGAGGCAAATGAAAAATTACAGGGATAAGGTGAAAACAGGTCTCTGCAAGTCTCTGCTGTACTTGAGAGAGGGCACTGTTAAATTCAGCTGAGGCGCCGGAGCTGTGGCATAGCAGGTAAAGATGCTGCCTGCAGTACTGGCATCCCATATGGTGCCATTTTGAGTCCTGGCTGCTCCACTTCCGATTCAGATCCCTGCTAATGTGCCTGGGAAAGTAGCGAAAGGCCCAAGAACCTGGACCCCTGGACCCATGTGGGAGACCAAGAAGCTTCTGACTGTGGATCAGCCCAGCTCTGGCCATTGTGGCCATTTGTTGAGTGAACCAGTGGCTTGAAGACCTGTCTCTCCCTCTCTATCTCTGCCTCTCAAATAAATAAATCTTTTTTTTAAAAATGCTTATCCTCTTCAAAGGAACAAAGATGTCCAGCTGCCACCTGCCAAGCTGTCATCCCATATGAGTGTCAGTTCAAGTCCTGGCTAATGCATCTGGGAAAGCAGCAGAGAATGGCCCAAGTGCTTGTGCCCCTGCCACCTCTATGTAAGACCCAGAAATTCCAGGCTCCTAGCTTCTGCCTAGCCCAGTCCTAACCATTGTGGCCATTTGGGGAGTAGATGGAAGATCTTTTTCTTTCTAACTCAGCCTTTCAAATAAATAAGTAAATAAATAAAATCTTTTTTTTTTTTTTTAACAGGCAGAGTGGACAGTGAGAGAGAGAGAGACAGAGACAGAGAGAAAGGTCTTCCTTTTGCCGTTGGTTCACCCTCCAATGGCAGCTGCAGCCAGCATACCGCGCTGATCCAAAGCCAGGAGCCAGGTGCTTTTCCTGGTCTCCCATGGGGTGCAGGGCCCAAGCACCTGGGCCATCCTCCACTGCACTCCCTGGCCACAGCAGAGAGCTGGCCTGGAAGAGGGGCAACCGGGACAGAATCCAGCGCCCTGACCGGGACTAGAACCTGGTATGATGGCGCTGCTAGGCAGAGGATTAGCCTAGTGAGCCACGGCTCCGGCCAATAAATAAAATCTTATTTAAAAAGACTGAAACTGAAACTACAAAATTTCATCTATCACTTATCAAATAGTAAGACAATCTAAAGTTTGATAAAATTATTGGTGAGAATATGAAACAAGTATTTGCACATATCGCCGGTCAGAGAATAAATTAATCTAATCTTTTAGGAAGGCAATCTGGCAATTTCTATCATTTCATTTGGCATAGTCAGTTCCAATTCTAGGACTTCATCTTATTTTCACTTGTCTATGTGCCAAAAGGCTTTTGTAAAAAAAGAAAAAATGGGGTATTAACTACATTATTCACGGTAATAGCAAAAGACAGAAAAATCCTAAAAGCCTCTCAGTAAAGAACTGGCTCAGTAAAATCTGGTTCCTTTCTATAATGGCATATATATGGCTACCAAAATGTTATGGCAACTCTCTGGATATGGAATAAGCTGCAAGATTTTTAACCTAACAAGAAAAGTACACAGGTTATATATTCATATGATTTTAATGGATATTTGGAAAGGCAATAAATGTCTGAAAGGGTACACAAATTGGCAGGAGTTCCTCTAGGAGAGGAGCTGTGACTGGGGGAGGGGTGGAAGTGAGGATTACTTTTCACTTCCATACCTTCTAAGCTTCATAAATAATATTCCTTTTTTTTAAATCAATTAAAAAACAAGCAAACAAACAAAACAGCCAGGAGCTTATTTGACGAGGAAGTAGCCCCTATAAATGGTGATGCTGCCAGGTAGGCTTTAGCTGACCTTCAGGGAGGGAGCAGCCCAGGGGCAAAATTCACTTTGCCCTGATCAACTCACCTTTCATTCTGAAACTTTCAAGACTGAAGCCCTCAGCGTCCTTTAGGAAAGGTTCAAGTTTCTGAACAGAGAACTAAATAAAGAAAAGCATTTTCAGTACAACAATCACAATTTTGCAGGACAGTGTGAAGTTCATGTAACTTTATGATATTCAATAAATGTGAAACTAAACATGATTTAATTTTTAAACTTAGGATTTTTTCATATAAACAAATAAATAGATCAGAAAAACCTTTTGTTACTCAGACTATACATTCTTATTTTTGGTCCAGAAAAAGACCATCTAATTCACACAAATGAACTTGCTCAGCTAAACTGACCTAAGTGCAGTCATCCCTCAGTACCCATGGGGTACCCGCTCCAAGACTCCCCACCCCTACCCTAAGTTATAAAAATCTGTGGACATTATGCAAGTCCTCTCATATACTTTAAATCATCTCCAGACTATTTACACTACCCAATATAAACATTTTATCAGTAGTTACCATATTATCTAGGAATAATAATAAAGGTCTGAACACGTTCAGGATGGATGCAACTTTTTCCCCAACATTTTGGATTTCTAGTTGGCTGCATCTGCAGATGAGGAACTTCTGGATGTGGAAGGCCCACTGTGCCAGTCAGCCTATAATTCACAACTTAAACTGTACCACGTGGCTCAGACACCAGTTAGCACGCGGTCGGGCTTCATAGGCCTGCTATCAGTTAGTTTTACCTCCACCCACTCTGAATTGCCATCACTGGCAGCCACTAGGCAACATCCATACCAGCAGATCTCTGACAAGTGACTCCTCAGTCAGCAGCAGCAGCACCAAGAGAATTGCGAGAACTCAGCCCAGGAAGAAATGAGCTGCTGGGATTAAGTTTGGCCTTTAAATTAATCCCAACCAGAGAGAAAAATATCTTTTAATCTTAACTGGTTCCTCACACAGTATGGATATCTCTTTGAAGTTGTCACAATAGCAGTTTAAGGGAGGGAAGAGAGGAAAGAATGAAAGCAAGCACTGCCCTGTCCAGGAATCTCACCTGGAAACTGGAGAGCAGGAGACAGCTGAGCCGCTTGCTTTCTGCGAGGTCGGCACTGATGGACCTGCTGAGCTCTAACACAGAACATGGCCACGGTTAAGGCTTACACACTTACACAGTCAGCAAAGCAGCAAAGCTGAAAAACGTCCTCCTTGAGGCAATCCAGTTTAAGGAAAGAAGCTCCTTTTTCTGAACAAGAGAGAATTCTGATTTTTCCAGGGTCACTGAAGAATAAAGTTTAGCCATTTGTGCACCCAAACTTTAAAAAAATGTATAGAATTTATGTACTACATATTGTTTTGTTAAACAAGGTAAAAAAATAATTCAACTTTTTTTGATGATTGATTCAGATTCACTATTCAAATGAAGGAAATGGGGACATTTGAACAGTTTTATATGGCAGGCACTGAAGTGTGCTTTTAAATACATCAGATTAGGAATCCTCTTACAAACCGTGAGCTCCATTTTACATACAGGGAAGCTGAAGCTCAGAGGGGAAATGATTTGAGGCCATGGATTGGTGGAACCAGAATCCACCTCCAAGTTGGTCCCAAAGCTCTGTGTGTTTCCCTCTAAGCCCATACTCCCTCACCCTAATGATCTAATAAAAAGATTAACAAATAACTAACATGTGCTGAACACTTATAACATAAAAGACATTTCATTAAATACTATACACATCTCACTAATATTTGGGGCAAGTATCTCGCCAGTTCCATTTTGATGACAGATCATCAAGCTGAGGCACAAAGGCTGGGTAATGGGCAACTTGCCAAGGTCACACAGAGGGTTACGAGGCTTAACTGGCTGGGCACTGAGACCTCAAACAATTTCAAGATAGTAGACTTTTTTCAATGTCCATTCAAAAACAAACATTATACAACAGAGGAAGTCTGCTTTGAGAATTCAGAAAATTCATGTCAGTTTGCTATCCAGTTCCAGCTGGCTGTGTTTTTCAAGTTCTCTTGTCTCCTGGACTAATTCTCACTGCTGTTAGTCAAAAACAGGATACTTCCTGTCTATAACCAAGGAAACCTGGCAGGTGGCCAAGAATAACCAATCTCATTACATTAGTGATTTTTCTGTTATACAGAATTTTAACTCTAAACACTCTGGAGCGCAGATGAAGACAGGGCTAATCTTGGAGAACTACTACTGTTTTCTTGGCACGTGTTGGTTGGCAGTAAAGTGCACGGGCACTGAGGCAGCAACTTTTTTTTTTTTTTTTTTTTGACAGGCAGAGTAGACAGTGAGAGAGACAGAGAGAAAGGTCTTCCTTTTGCCGTTGGTTCACTCTCCAATGGCCGCCGCAGCCAGTGCACCGGGCTGATCTGATAGCAGGAGCCAGGTACTTCTCCTGGTTTCCCATGGGGTACAGGGCCCAAGCACCTGGGCCATCCTCCACTGCACTCCCTGGCCATAGCAGAGAGCTGGCCTGGAAGAGGGGCAACCGGGACAGAATCCGGCGCCCCGACCGGGACTAGAACCTGGTGTGCCGGCGCCACTAGGCAGAGGATTAGCCTAGTGAGCCGCGGCGCCGGCCTGCAGCAACTTTTTGATGTGCTCAGTAGGCTCTGCTACCCAGACTGTCTGCTGCCCTTCAGACCACCTGTAAGTGAGGTAATACATTACAGTGATCACAACAGGGAGCTGACACTTAGCCTGGAGTTAAGGCACCACATCCCAAATCAGTGTGCCTGCGTTCAGTTCCTGGATCTGGCTCCTAACTCCAGCTTCCTGCCATGTAGACCCTGGGAGGAAGTGGTGCCAGCTGAAGTAATTAGGTCCTGCCACCCATATGGCAGAGTTGGACTGAGCTCCCGGCTCTGGCTGTGGCCCCGGTTCAGCCCTGGTCATTGAGGGCATCTGGGGGATGAACCAGCAGACTACAGCTCTGTTTCTCTTAAATAATAAACTTAATTATTTCTAAAGTAATCACAGCAGTTTAACATTTGAGGGCTTCCTGCGTCAACTCATCTCCTCACACATAACCCTATTTCGCTTCAGTGTACTAATGAGGACCTTCAGGCCAAGGAGGGGAAGTGGTCAGCTCAAGGTCACACAGCTAGCACATTCTTCAGGGCTGTGTTCCACTTTCCACGTCATACCCTGCACCTTGATGCCCCGAGGCTGTTGCTAACTCAAACTCACACAAATCACAGTCAAATACAACAGCCCTAAAAAATCAGGTTTTCACTCTCACTACTTTTATGTGCCCCTTCGCTCAGGCATTTCCGGTTCTGAAGGCTAATCAGGATTCAAGTCTTCCTCCTTCTGTTCCACATTAGGGGATGAGGCACAAAGTCTCAGGAAGGAATTTTTAAAGCAGAGGTGGATGGTGAACAATTAGAAATCAGAATTTCTGTTCATGACAGCTAATAATATGATCTAAATAGCAATAATACTGAACACTTACTAGGTGTCTGACATCAGTACTCAGAGACAGAGTATCCCACCGGCAGGTGCTATTATCTCCATTTTATAGAAGAGAAAACGGAGGCTCAGAGAGGTGAATCTATCTGCTCAAAGTCAGAGCTATTCCACTATCTTGCTGCCACTCTTGCCTGCCTCTGCTCTGAGCTGGACCCTCCTTGTCTTGTGCACACAGCACCCCACCTGTGATGCCCTGGTGAAAGGGAGCCAGTGACTTCCGCCGGTTTGTTTCTTTCATACTTGCTCGCCGCCAGGACTGCCTCCTATCTTGACGAAGGGCAGGCTGTTCTTGAGGGGACAAACGAAGGGACTTTGACAGAAGTGCTTCCTGGTGGCTGAGATCACAACTTGCCCACTTTTCAGGGCTAGACCCAAGATGAATTCTTTCCTTGGCAACATCTCGAGTCATCTCCAGGGAGGCTTCCACAGGATTGAGATTTGATTCCAATGGATGACCATGGGTCTTGGACGTCACTGGTTCCTCTTCTAGCATTTGTTATAAAAAAAAAATACAAAATCAAACCCACCACAAGTAAGTATCTGAGCAAAAAGGTGGAAAAAGAAAGTGCACGAGTATGCTCTCAGAGCACAGAAAAGCATTTGTGCAGTACATGAACATGTGATTCCAGGACAGGATGCAGGCACAGCCCAGAAGCGGAACCCAAGGTGAGCCGTACTGCGTTCACAGCAAGTACTCACCTTCTACCGTCTCTGCTCCAGTCACTGATGCCATCCTGGATGGAGGGCTCTGAAACAGGAAAACGGGGTGACCTGTTCTCCCCAGTGCAGCTCCAGGCTCACAGGGCTTTACTGACCCGGAACAGGCCTGTGCTTCCCAGGCTCTCCAAAATGTCCTCACCCCCCTCCTCCACAGAGAGCATCAGCAGGGCTCATCGCCTCCCGTTCTGAATTCCCACAGAACTTACTGCTGCAAGTTCCTATTCACTTAACACACACCCTGCCTGATTCCAGGTAAGTGACAAGTCCCTGATTCAGCTGATGGCTTTAAGATCAATGTGGTCCTCCAAGGTAAAAAAAATCACATCATCGTCCTTTTACTTACTACTCAGTTCTCTAGATCCAAAGTCCTATATGTTCTTCAAGTTATCTCTAAATCTTTTCTCTTTCCCAGCTACTAGCTTAGTTCAGCCTCATCATTTCTGTCCCCTCGTCCATGAACATCTAACAGTCTCTGCCACTTTTCCTGCATCCAACTTTATTCCTCCCACTTCATTCTTTAAAGACAGCTGCAGAGGTTTTTCCAAAATGCATCCAACACCCCGCATAAGCTGGTCCTAATCTACCCATTTCTGCCCTCTCCCGCTACTCCTATTCGCTGGACTACTTCTGAATCTTTAAACACATCTGTCCATCCATGCGGGGTCATCAAAACACTCATGGGGGGGCCGGCGCTGTGGCATAGCAGTGCCGGCATCCCTTATGGGCGCTGGTTTGGGTCCCAGCTGCTCCACTTCCGATCCAGCTCTCTGCTATGGCCTGGGAAAGCAGTAGAAGATGGCCCAAGTCCTTGGGCCCCTGCACCCACGTGGGAGGCCCAGAGGAAGCTCCTGGCTCCTGGCTTCGGATCAGCCCAGCTCTGGCCATTGCAGCCATCTGGGGAGTGAACCAGCAGATGGAAGATCTCTCTCTCTCTCTCTGCCTCTCCTTCTTCTGTGTAACTCTAACTCTTTAAAATAAATCGTAAAATAAAATAAAATCTTTAAAAAAAAAAAAAAGGAAGACTACTCTCTCTCTCTGCCTCTCTGTAACACCGCCTTTCAAATAAATGTATCTTTTTTAAAAAATTCATGGGAAACGCGTATTATAAAAAAACTGCATGGGTTTAAATTTTTTTTGCACCAATATAGATGCTCTTTTAATCCTACATTTCCACCAACTTTCTCAGGTTTCTTCACACTTGCACAACTTACTCCTCCTTCCCAATCTAGCTTAAATCTGAAGTTTTCTCAACACTTTGGCACAGCTGGTGGCCACACCCCTTGGTCTCCCTGGCATTGGCTGTGAAATGATGACACGTCTTGTCTTGCCCAGCTGGACTGCATTGTTTTCCTAGTGCCTGTCGCTGACAACGGACAGGGCAAGGGCAGGGACACCCGTCCCTCCCAGCACAAGCCGTAAAGAGAAACGCCTGTGCTGATCCACACGAGGGGAACAGAACCACGAAACCCCCTGCCCTGACGACCGTGGGGCACATACTCAGCAATGGTCACCGGTTAAGCGCGCTTCCGGCCCCGAGGCACTTTATCTGCGTCCTCGTTACGCACGACTCAAAGTGCCATCAAAGACGCGCGCGGCGGCCCGGGCAACTGAGGTTCACAGTGGGCAAAGAGCCGGACCCACGCTCGTTACAAACGCGCCCAGCCGGAGGGGAGAGGCGACTTTCGCACCCGGGCCGGCGACCACCCCCTTTGACTCTCCAGGGGTCTCGACCGCCCGCTCTGCCGGAACGGAAGGCGCGGCCCGCCCTGGGGTTTCCTCTCACCCCACAGGTCGCAGCGCCCCCGGGCCCACTCCCCCAGCGCCTGCTCGCGCAGGGCCCAGGGGTCCGGCGCTAGGGAAGCTGCTTGGTGCGGCGCGAGCGGGCGCACACCCGGGGAGAGGTCTGCGACTTCCTGACCTCACAGCGACGCCCGTCCATCCCAGGGCCTCCGTTCCTGAAGCACAAGGCCGCAGGTCGCTCTCTCCGCGGCCCCAGCCCTCTGTGCCACTGCGGCCGGTCCTCCTCGGTATCAGCGGGGTGTGGAGCCCGCCGTCTACGTCATCGCCGCGGCGTCCGAAACTCCCGCCAATCGAGAGCGCATGCGCGGCCGCCAGCCTCTCGGGCACGCGCGCACAGACCGGCGGCCAGCGACTCGGCGCATGCGCACACCGGTGTTCCACGCTCTTCCGAGCCCCGCCGCCTTAGCCTCAGCCCTTTCATCCCGGGGCGGTCAGCCACGTCACCAGCATTCCCAGTTCACTCCCCGCCACTCCCCGCGGAGCCGCAACTCTGAGGCGTCCTTTTTGCGCCATCGGGCCTCAGATTCCTTCTAAGACAGGAAAAACAGGCCCGAGATACTTGGCAAAGGCATATAACTCATCAGAGGGGGTCCCTAGGCCACCAGCCCCCCCACGGACTGAAGCTCTGGGCTCGGTGGACCCCTCCCTATCCCCTCTTCTGAGACTTCTCCAGGGACCTCCTAAGAACACGCCGAAGATTGGCAACTCTCCCGTCCAGCCTCGTCACAGGCCACGCCCTCCCAAGCTGCTGGCAGCCGCTCTGCCCACCCCACATCTCATCTTTCTGGTCAAGCCGAACCCTTTGCCTGGGTCGCTGTTTTTCCTAGCGAAACTCCCTAACTTTAAGGCATCAGCTGAAACACCCACCTCTGGGGCCTCTTCTGCGGCCCCAGACTGAAAACCTGCCGCCCCTTGCTGGCCTGGAGACTCCAGAACCCAGGGAGGCAGCGGGCGCCACCAGTACTGGAGGTCTGGTTAAAAGCAGGGGCGGCAGCAGGAGCAGGGTCATCTGCCAGAGCAGTTGTCCCTGGACAGCTTTTGCACCCTGTGGCTCCAGCCTGCCGGCTCCAACAGACATCTGAAGGCAGAGATGCGCTGTTGGGCCCCGAATATCACTTTCTGGGCTCAGTTCCTACTGAGCATTGGCCCCTCTTCGGTTCTTCGTTTGTCCGTGGCCCAGCCAGGGCTGGCCCTCCTGGGACCTGCTGAGAATACTGCTCACAGAGCCCCGGCCCAGTGTGTGCTCTGACTTGGGGCCAGTCCCTGCTTTGAATTCTCCCTGTCCACAGGATACATAAACATTCTTTGCCTGTGAGGCACTGGGTGATCAGACCCAGGCTCTTTGGGTTCCCCAGTTCTGCTCCATTCTTCCCACCAGGCTTCCACACGCGCTGTTCCTCCCCGAAGTCCCCTGCCTGCAGCACACCACTCTCCCTTCCACCTGGCCGGCATCTTAGCCTCGGGTCCATTAGGCATCCCTTCCTCTGTGGGGCCGTTCCCGGTCCCTCACTGCAACAGAAAACACCCACCTAAAATGTCTTTTTTTTTTTTAAATGATAAATGTTTTTGAGTCTTGTAGTGAAGTTTAAATCTTTTTCTTCTTTCTGAATGCCCTGCATTTGTTCCCCAGTGGTCATTTCACACGTTTTTGGGAGCGCCTCTGCCTACAGTGCCAGCCTCCCATATGGGCACTGCTTTGAGTGCTGGCTGCTCCACTTCCAATCCAGCTCCCTGCTAATGCACCTGGGAAAGCAGTAGAAGATGGCCCAAGTGCTTGGGCCCCTGCACACCCATGTTGGAGACCTCAAAGAAGCTCCTGGCTCCTAGCTTAGCTTGGCCCAGACTCAGGCATTGTGGCCATTGGGGAGTGAACCAGTGGATGGCAGATATCTCTCTCTTTCTCCTTCTCTGTAACACTTTCAAATAAATATTAAAAAAAAAAAAACCTCAGATATTCTAATAAATCTGCAGGAGAGAGCCAATAGGAGGGCAGTCAATGACAAGTGCTTGTGTGACATACTTTATTTTCAATCTACAGCCATTAAAAACGCTTTGTAAGTTTACACTGTACAATTACGCGCATGTCTGAAATACGACACGGGGCGGGGGGCGCTGGTGGATGGGACTGCGGTTGTCTTCACACCCGATCCATCCTGGGAAGGAGCCTCTTGAAGACAGAAGTGGGAGGAGAGGACAGCAGACAGGAGGGACGCACAGTTGGCCCAAGGATGCCCTTGGTCCCTTCCCTCCCGAGGGCCTTTCCATGGGGGTCCCCAGGGCCCACGACTGCAGGACCCTTACCAGGAAAGCAGGCTGGGTGAGAAGGGGGCTTCACAGTATTGGCGGGGGTTTGGGAAGGGGTTGGGAGGAGGAGGAGGAAGAGGAAGTCGGCTGCTGGAGGGGGAGGGGCTGCTTTTTGGCACTGTCTGCAAGGTCTCCCTGGAGCTGGGAGGAAGAGGAGGAACAGCTGGGGACTTAGGCTTCTTTCCTGGGAGTTAGGGTTCTTTCCATGTGAAGAGGCCATCTGGCCATGGTGAGGTTCCCGAGAGACACACTAACAGGGTCTTTCGCCTCCCGCCTCCCCAGGACTTCCATCCCCTGCCTGGCTGGCACCACCCACACAAACTTTCCTAAAACCCAGACAGATGGGGAAGGTGAGCAGGGCTGGAACCAGGCCAGGGACAGCGAAAGGAAAACCTGCATGTCTTCTGTAGACCCTCCAGCTTCCAGCAAGAGATTGTATCGCGTTGTTTGGGGCGCGGGGGGTGGGGGGGGTTGTTTCCAATCACAAGGTGAGGGTGCTGTTTTCCATCTGCTCTTGGCCTGGGCTGTGTTCAGTCTCCCGGGCTGCACTGACTGCTGGCCTAAATCAGCAGTTGTCAAACTCGTGTATCAGAACCCTCTGGAAGGCTCCTTAAAATCCAGCTTGCCGGGCCTTTCTCCAGAAGTTGTAATTCAGTGGGTGTTGGGTGGGGCTGACAATCTGCACTTTTAAGATCCCTGGGGATGTTCCTGCTGCTGGGACAGAACTGGAGAACCACTGGTCTGGAAGGGGAAGGGGTGTCCTGTCCCAAGGCAAGGCCACAGAGATGGGCCACAGCTGACAAGGCCCAGCCGCAGAGGCAGCTGGCGATGGATGTGGGGCGAGCCCCCCTGTGCGGAGAAGTAGACTAAGGCACAGAGATCAGCGGCGGAACTGAAAGGAGCCAGGACACAGGGCTCAGCGGGCTGACAGGATCACCCTCCTGCTCACCATCGGATCCTACACTAGGAGGGCCAGAGAAGTCAGGGGGTCTGCCCAGACGTGGGCCACGTCTCCAGACCTGACTGCCTCAGCTCTGCAAAGCTCCACGAGGCCTGGTGCCCAGCGAGCCGGTGGTGGACATGGAGAGTGGGAAACCAGGCTGATGGATGGAGGGGGGAGAGAAGTATCCGAGGAGGCTGAGGGAGGGCAGGTGGTGGGCAGGGGCCCTGAGCCAGCGACTCAAGCCCAGCACCACATCCTCAGTCACTTCTGGGTCTGGGGTCTGTGCATTCTGCAAACTGTCTAGTGTTGGGCTGAGAGTGGCCAAGGCCAGAGCCAGGACGAGTTGTTCTGCAGGAGGGGAGGCCCAAGGGGGAAGGGAGGAGTCGGTTTTGGAAGTCCAATGGAGAGACAGATGGACAGATGACCAGAGATGGACAGAAGAATCCAAGTCAGGCTGCACCTGCTTTACAACCAAAGCCATCCAAGAGGCAGGGGAAAGTGCAGTGGGTGCCGTGGGAGGCTGTGGGTGGGGAAGACAGTGTGGCTTGAGGCTGGGACTGGCAGGATGTGGTTCTGAACTGGGAGATGCTGGGGCAGGACAGGTCCATTGAGCAGCGCTGGCAAGGCTGCTGCCTCCTGACACAAGGAAAGAGGCTTCCCTGGTGTGAGTAGTCACAACATGAAGCAACCCGGCACCCCAGAGCCCAGCAGATCTGTGAGCCAACACAGGAGTTAGGAGACCACAGACAGGACGCTTCCCTGGTATGGTGGAGATGTGAGCTGGGGGCATGGAGGGCTGCTGAGATGACGGAAAATCCAGAAGGAGCAGAGTTGGGGTGGGCGTCCCAGGAGGGCCGAGAGCTGGGGCCCAGGAGAGGAAAGTGTAGCCATTGGCCAGGGCCACCCCATAAGGTGGCAGAAACCAAAGAGAAGAGGAGGCAGAAGAAGGGGAGCTGTGGAAGGAGGTGATGAGGGAGAGGATGGGTGGGAGGTAGGGAACAAATTGAGCCCAGAGAGCAGGGGCTCAGCCACAATCACAGAACGCCAGGGCAGCGTCTCACTCGTGTCTCACTCACCACTGGGGACGTAGGACCTTCTCGGGGTAGGAAACCTGGGTCTGCCCTTGGCTGTGCCCCCGGCCTGCAGTGTGGCCTTGGGGGAGCCATTCCCTGCTCCGGGCGTGAATTTTCCTTGGAAAACACAAGGGGATTAGACACAAAGGACTAATGTATGAGTTTTACCCACGGGGGTGCCTGGAAGAGGCCGATTCCTAGAAGTGGGACCGAGGTCACCATGGGCCAGCGGTGGGGAGGGCAAACAGAGAGCAGAACTGCAGAGTTTGGGAAGATGGAAAAATTCGGGGAATGAGACTGGTGATGGCTTTACAACGTCGTCAATCAACGCCACTCTAAAATGGTTAAAATAGTTGACATTGTGTTATGGATATTTTGGCACAACTCAACAAAAATGAGGGCACTGGTCCGGATTCTCCAGGGCTCACGAGGAGGTGGGGGTGGCAGCCCTGGGGCCAGAGCACTTGGCATCGCTGTAGAACCTTCACTGTTTCAGGCGGACCCTCAGGCACAGTACTGCATTTGGTCCTCACCACGGCCACATGAGGTAGAAGACATTATCCCCACTTCATAGCTGGGGACACGGAGACACAGGCTAGCCACGTGGTCAGTCATTCAAGTTGGTGGCAGCTTGTTGTTTTTAGAAAATGGTCACCTGGAAAACATTCTTGTACCTTACCGTCACCTGCGGAAGCACGGACCAGCTTGGTGGCCTCTGAAGGCTCATGCCAGAAGCCAGCAGGACAGTTTGTCTCCTGGACAAACAGGGCAGTGACAAAAACCTGGTGTGCTTCTCTTTTCATCACAGCTGCCAGGAAAGCCAAGAGCGAAATCTCACTGCAGGATTACGGGCATCGCCACAGGTACATTTGGAGAAGGATTTGTCTTGCTTTTTAACTTTTTGTTGCCCTATGAAATACACATGACTGAAATTCTAAATTGTCTCTGCTGCATTTGAAATTGTTGGGATAATTAAATTAAAAATAAATCACAGTTTGGTGGTTGAGGACCAGGTCCCCTCAGTACCAGCCCAGTGTGACTAATGCTCTTTTTAAGAACAGTGGCCTATGGGTGGGCGTCTAGTCTAACAGTTAAGGTGTGGGTTAGGATGCCCAGTTCCATATCTGCATGCCTGGGTTCAATGCCCCCACCCAGCTCCCAGCTCCAGCTTCCCGCTAAGTAATGTGGACCCTGTGGAGCTGCGGTGATGGATCAAGTAATCAAGTTGATGCCACCCAAGAGAGAGACCAGACTGGGTGCCCCCTTGTCTGCTGCTGGCATTTGAGGAGTGACCCAGTGGATGGGGGCTCTCTGTCTGCCTCTCAAATAAATACATACATAAATAATGAGCAAATGATGGCCTAATGGTCAAGGTTCTGGAGAAGAGGAGGTGTTTCCTAAATAGTAAAGTGCTCTGGGCAGTGTGCGGAGGGCATTCTTACTGTGGTTGTTAGCAAAGGGGCAGTGTGAGCATGGGGCGCTGATGGGGGCGGGGAAGAACCAGGATACTGCATGGTGGTGAAACCATGAACGGAGCATGGGAGTGGCCATGGTGGAGCCCCGCTGGCACCAGCGTGTAAGATAGTCAAGTCTTTGGGCCCTCATTGTTGCTACCTATGAGGCCAGCAAGTAGGAGAGTGTCCCTGGGGAGAACAGAGGGCTGGCCCCATTCTGAGTCCACAGAAAGCAAGACCTGTTGGTGGGGAAAGAACTGGGGGGAGGAGCTGGGGGGAACTGGGTTCTGATGCCCTGCGTATACAGGCCTGCACCCAAGTGTTCTCATCTTCCTGTTAAGTACAGTCACCGCTGTCCCCAGGAGGGTCTAATTTGGCCCTGGGAAGAAGATGGACTTAAGAAATATGAGGCCACGCAGTTTAGGGTCGACCATGCCGGCTGGTCAGCCTTTTCTTCCCAACCAACCATGCGGATCTGAGCCAAGTGCTCTGCGGGGGATTGGGACCCCGGGGTTCCTTGGGACTTTGGTTGAAGACAGAGTGGAGATGGGGGAGGAGGAGGAGGGAGGATGGGGAGGGGGCCCTAGGGAGGAGCAGGAAGGGAGGAAGGAGGAAGGGCAGCGTTCCTTCCCGGGACCTCAGTCCTCCAGGGCAATCCCCGCTGTGGGTCAGGCAGTTTTCTGCTTTGGGAATGTTACTAAGACTTCAAAGGCAGTGGAAGCAACAAACAAATTTAGAAATTACATTCCGAAAGAGTATTACAAACCAACCCCCCACCCCAAAAAAGAAAACACAACCAGTTACCAAGTAAAATGCTAAAAATCAAACCAAACCGATATTTACATGTAACATTGTCATCCCCAAGAAACCCCCCTCCCCTTCCCTCGCCCCTGCCCCGCCCAGAGGCTTCTTCAGGAAGCATGAGGCATGGCCTGGCACAGTGGTGTGCAGGAAGTGGAGACCTGGGTGCGACCGGAGACCAGGATCTGCAGCCTCTGGCACAGACTGGGTACTAGGAGGCTGGAGCTGAGACAACAGAGACGGCAGGTGACCCCACACGAGGACGATGGTAAGGCTGAGTCATCCCAAAGGCTCACACGGATTTCTGCCCAGGGCTGACAGTGGCTCCCTGGACCCCTGCAGCTCTGGGAGGTGGCAGAAGGCCTCTGGCGGCTTGTGGCCCAGTGTGAATCCCCTCACCTGGAGATGACCTTGGAGGGACTCCCCTGACCTTGTGGATGGGAGCAACAGCATCCCAGAGGGGACCTGACCCGTGGCTCCACGGGCTGGCCTGCTCTGCCCCCCAAGTCACTAGGGCACAAGGAAGCAGCTGGTAGGACTGACGGGACCCTGGCACTCTGTCGACAGAGCATGGAAGCAAAGGACTCTGGATAACAGGTGACCCTGAAGATGTAAGGCTGGGAACTGGCAGGTGGGTGATGGGAGCACAAGGGTCTCGAGTCCCGGCGGCAAGCTAACAGAGCCCCTGGGACTCCCAGCCAGTCCCAGGAGGGCTGTGCGTCTGTGTGTATGCAGGCGGGAGTGCAGCCAAAACGGCGCACTGGCCCCGAGGGGGAGGCCCTCCTCTCCGTGTGGTGATGAGCCATGCCGCAATCCTTCTGAGGGCTCTGGAAGCGCCATGGGCCATGGGCAAGGGCAGGAGAGCCGTGGGAGGCTGTAAGGCTAAGGGGAGAGGCTGGTGAAGAGGCTGGCAGGCTGGTGAGAACCGAGGCGGGCCAGGGCGCTTTCAGATCCGTGTGCAAAGCTGCAGTAAACATTCGTGACGTTCAGTCCTGTTTTCCTGTGAGCTCTCACCTGGGGACCAGGGAGGGTTCTCCATGCTCTTGATGGAGCCTTGCTAATTCATGCTGGACTCACTGTGAAAAAGGAAGTGTGTCGGAGGCAGGGAGGAAAACGAGGCAGGAAATGGAGACTGTCTGGGGACTGGGGCCTCTGCCTTGCCAGGGCCGGCGAGTACCAGGTGTGGCTCACAAGCCATGCTCTAAGGTCAGCGGTGGCGGGGAGCACCAGCAGGGCCCCTCCTAAAGTAACCGGGAGACCACAGCCTGGGCACGCCCCTCCGTCCGAGGAAGCCCTGCATTGTCCCAGCGGTAAGGACATGTGTCTTAACCACCAATAAATTACCTTAGGGACTCTGGGGTAAATTAAATTATTAAAATAAACCACCTTAAATATAAAGAAAAATTCAAATAAACAACTTAACAAGAAATGTTTCCAGGCCCTAGTCGATAGCTGTGGCCCGGGGCATTGGCCTCCTGGAGCCTCCTTGGCCTGACCTGGCCAAGTGGGAGTCTCTCACAGGGAGTATTTGAGCCCTCCACCAGCTGCAGGATGTAAACACGGTGGCAACATGGTGCCCCTTCCAGGGAGCCAGGGACGTGGGCCCCATGGATCAAGGCAGTGGGTGTGTAGGCATTTATCTATGCACCAGGTCTTGAGACGAACTCTACCTACTCTGTCCTCAGGAGGCTCCTGGGAAGACCGGGCCCCTCCAATCACCTTGGCAAGGGAGGCGATTCCAATGGCCACCCGCCCCCGAGCCCTGCCATTCCCACCCCCTCTCCCAGTGTTTGCTGCATCCAGGTATGGGCAGAGAGATCCAGGGCTCCAGGGTTCCAAGCAGGTACTTGGCCTTGGCTCCCGCCCTATCATACCCCCCCAGGGTGCCAGAAACCCAGAGCAGCAGGGTGGGCGGAAGAGGTAATGCTGGCGGTGGGAAGGAGGGGACGGTGATGACGCCCAGCCCAGTCCACGAGAGTGAGCCTACAAGCAAAGCCCGTTCTTCCCTATGGGCCTGTTCCCCAAGGGCACGGCCAGGGGTCTTGCCCTTCCCAAGCTCTTCCAAGAGGTGGGCACGGGTGGAACCAGGGGAGGCTTTCCCTCAGGACTCGGGGGTCGGCTCCCAGCGGCGCGCTCTGTGGATGCTTCCGAAGCCGTTCTGGTCTTTCTCCTACTCGCTGCGTTCTCCAAGGAAGCTGGAGGTCAAGACTACGCTTTACCTTGACGTGACAGCGCTCTCTGGTGGTGGCGCAGCTGCTGTCCCTGCAGGGCTGGGAGATGCTGAGGGCACAGCCCCTTGCCTCGTCTCTGCTGGTTCTTCTGCCATCCGGGGATGGGGGCTGGTTGAGGCGGGGAGCTTGGCTGCTCTGTCACTCGCTCGGAGGGGCTGCCCTCTCCTCCCCGCCCCAGCCAGACTCAGAAGGGTGCAGCCTGCACTTGGAGGGAGAGTGACGGATGGCGGAGCGGGACGGCCGGGCGAAGCAGGAGGCCAGAGATTGCGCGCTGCAGTCACAGACAGCATCCTAGGATGAGGGAGAGCAGACGTTATGGGGAGCCGGGAGGCGCTGGCCACCAGGGGCTGGGCGGCTGGCCAACAAGGAACTGGGGCTCCACAGTGCCCATGGGCCAGTTCTCAGAGGCCACCACCCCTCTCTGGACCAAGTCCTCTTTTATCGTTTTTATCCCACCAGACGAGGATGGCTCATTCATTCTAGTATGTGCTAAATCACACACAGCAGCAAGTGAACAGGGTCCCTGGTCCCGCACCTGAGAGGAAAGTCCCAGCACCCACCCGCCCACCAAAAGGACCTTGTTCCCAGCAGCCCACTTTGCCACCACCAAGCAGGGACACTTTTCTGCCACTTGAATGTCTAGAACCCCTTCTTTTTAATGGCTCTCTAGGATTCTACCGAATGAAAATTATTTATCCAATTCACATTTTCAAAAACTGGTCTGAGATCAGTGACATTTGTTTGATTTATTTCAGTGTTTTTAAAGAGAGAGATCTTCCACCTGCTGGTTCAGTCCCCGAATGGCTTCAACAGCCAGGTCTGGGCCAGACTGAAGCCAGGAGCCAGGAACTCCATCCTGGTCTCCCACATGGATGGCCGGGGACTGAGCACTTGGGTCATCTTCCACTGCCTTCCCAGGTGCATTAGCAAAAAGTTGGATCAGAAGCAGAGCAGCCAGGACTTGAACAAGCACTCCACTGTGGGATGTTTGCATCACAAGCTGTGGCTTAACCTGCTGCACCACAACACTGGACTCTAATCCATTTTTGAAAGACACAGAAAGAGAGAGAGAGAAGTCTCCCAATTGCTGGCTTGCTCCCCAAATGCCTGCTACGGCTGGGGCTGGGGCTAGGCCAGGCTGAAGCCTGGAGCTGAGAACTCAAACCAGGTCTCCTGCATGAGTAGAAGGAATCCAACTACTGGACCAAAAGGCTGCATCCCAGGGTGTGCAATTAGCAGGAAGCTGGACCCAGAGCCAGAGAAATGAACTGAACCCAGGCTCTCAGATATGGGATGCGAGTGACCCAACCTGTAGCCTACCCACCAGGCCAAACACCCACCCCTAAAAGGTTTGCTGAGAAGGCAGCCGGCTGGGTGAGAGCAGAGAAATAAAGCACGAGAGGGCTGCAGAATTCGGGGGTACAGCAGGTGACGCTCAAATGCCTGGGCCCCTGTCATCCACATGGGAGACCAGGGTGGAGTCCCTGGCTCCTGGCTTCAGCCTGGCCCAGCCCAGGCTATTGTAGGCATTTGAGAAGTGAACCAGCAGATGGAAGATCTCTCTCTCCTCTCTGCCTTTCAAGTAGATGAAAATAAATTTTAAAAACCAACCAAAAGAACCTGGACTTCGTAAGCAAAACCGCCTCACCGGAAAAAGCGCGGACAGCAGCCACCTACCTCGTTGGGCAGGGCCGTGGCGCCATCTCCCTCCCGGGGGCCGCTGTCCTTCCCCAGCTGGGGCAGCGGGGCGGCGGCCGCTCTGTCCTCGCTACTGCCCGACTTGCCCGCCTTCTTGCTGAGGATCCTGGCCACGCCCTCGGGCTGCTGGAAACTGGCCGGGGACAGCGGCTCCGGCTTCCGGGTGCCATCGTCCCCCGCGGAGGCAGCCGCGGCGGTGGGGCTGGGGGCGCGGCCGCACACGTTGCGGAAGAACTCCTGCACGAGGCCGTACTTGGGCTGCTCGGGCCTGGCCCGGCCCTCGGACACGCCCAGCTTCCAGACGGACTCGGTGCTGCCGGAATGCTCCACCACGCTGAAGAGGCTGGACAGCCCGTCGTTGATGTTCCTCAGCACGGGGCTGTCTCGCGTGGTGGTGGAGCGGGCCCAGGCCGAGCCGTTCTGCTTGCCCTGGTGCAGGTTCCACAGGCTGCGGTCCTTGGCGCCGTCCAGCTTGGACACGGAGCGCCGCTGCAGCTTGGGCGAGCCGTACTTGGGCGAGCAGCAGGGCCGCTCGATGCGCGCGTGCACCTTGTCCAGCGAGGACGAGAGCTGCTTGCTGCGCACCGCGGCCAGCGAGGAGCTGCGCGGGGACCAGCTCTTGCTGTGCAGGCTGCTGCCGCGCGGCGGGTCGGTCTGTAGGCCCACGCTGACCGTGCGGGTGGTCTGGGTGCCCACGCTGGCCAGGCCCCCCGTCTGGCTGGATGTGCTCTTCACTTTCCTCTCCAGTGAGCCCGAGCGCATGGCCTGGCGCACGCAGTTGGTGATCTCCTTCATGTCGTCGCTCATGTTACGGGACATCTCGAAGTCGTGCAGGGCCGCGGGGAAGCCCGGCCCGGCCGCAGAGGGGCTGCTGCCGGAGCCCGCGTCCATGCGCTGCCGTGAGAAGTTGCACAGCCACCGGCTGTAGGCGCTCGCGGCCAGCCCGTCTGCCTCGGCCGACTCCTTGGGCTTGGCGGTGGTAAAGAGGAAGCCAGGCTCAATGAGGATCTTGCCCTCCTTGTCGTGAACCACGGGGACGCCCAGGCGCCGGGCTACCGGGGGGCTGTAGTACACCCGGATGCCGGTCTTGTCGGGGGCCGTGTAGCTGCGCTGCATCTGCCTGCCCGCGGGGTCCTGGCAGGCCAGGGGGCCCAGGCGGCTGCAGTCCAGGGGCGAGAGCCCGGACTTCTCCTTGGCACCTTTCTCCTGCTCCCCGGGCTCGGTGCTCACAAAGCCAAAGGCAGGGCTGGCGGGCAGCTTCTTGCCCCGGGCATCACCGCCGGCCAGGTAGGGGGAGCAGTCCAGCAGACTTTCAAACTCAGACATGGAAGAAACGGATTTGGTCCTGAGGAGGGCGGAGGAGGAGGAAAGGTGGTGTGAGTGGAAGCGTAAGGCCGGGTGTAGAAGTCCACAGGTGTAGGAATTAATGACACATTTAGTGTGGGCAGTTGGTGCAGTGGCTAAGCTACTGCCTGGGATGCCCACATCCATACCGGAGTGCTTCCCGCCAACGTGCACCCTGGGAGGCAGAGCTGATGGCTCAAGTACTCCGGTCCTTGTCTCCTGCGTGGGAGATCTGAATTGAGTTCTGGGGCTCCTGGCTTCAGCCTGACCCAGCCCTGGCTATTTCAGGCATTTGCAAAGTGAACCAGTGAATGGAAGATCTCTGTTTCTCTGCCTTTCAAGCAAATAAAACAAAATAATTAGAATAAACCAACTAAACATAAGTTTATTTTGATTCCCCTAAAAAGTTGAAATCCATGAATACAAGAGGTCTTCAAAGAGTTCATGGAAAATGCATATTATGAAAAAAAAAAAAAAAACTGTGCATGGGTTTTGAGATTTTTCTGGACCAAAGTAAAATCTTTTTCAAATACTTTTTTGAAAGGCAGACTGCCAGGGGTGAGGGTGAGGCTGAAAGAGAGAGAGAGAAAGAGAGCTCTTCCATCCAGTAATTCACTCTCCATACGCCTGCGACATCTGGGCTGGGCCAGGTCAAGGTCAGGAGCCTGGAACTCCACCCTGGCCTGGTCTCCCACATCAGGGGCAGAAACCAAGTACTTGAGCCATCATCTGCTGCCTTCCCAGTCATATTAGCAGGAAGCTGCATGGGAAGTGGAGGAGCCAGGACTTGAACTGGGCACTCCACATAGGATGTGGGCATCCCAGGTGGCAGCTTGACCCCTTGTACCAGCACACCTGCCCCAGGAAACTCATCCTGTAGTTCTGTTTCCACACAGACTCTGTGAAGTGCTCCTGTACATGAGCACAGTGCCGATGGACCTGTCCGGGCCAGGCACGGCAGCAGGGCACAGACAGGGAATCCAGCTCACCTCTTGTGGACGACACTGCTGGTGCCCTGCCCACATCCTCCCTGCACTCCCGTCTGCTCGCTCTGACCACCTGTTTCCCTCTACCTGAGGCATTTGTGCAGCCGGGGGATCACACCTGTCTTCCAGATAGAGAAAGCTACACACTGCGTGTGGTTTGTGCCCCTGAACACAGCCTTGAACGCACAGCAGTTGAGGGTTTGGGAGTGGGGGGGGGGCACTCGGGGCTGCACGCGCCACCAGCCTGGCAGAGTTCCTCCGTGACAGTGAGCTCGGCGGCCCCGGGACAACCTGGGGCGGAGATGCCTTTTCTTGACAGCGTTCCCTTCCCCGCTTCACCTCCAGGTGCACCCCGGATCCTCCTGCACTGGAATCCTCGTCTCAAGTTTTGCTTCTAGGGGAGTCCAAAGTTAAGAAGCCACCCCGTGCCCAGCACAGCCTCAGCAGGTGCATCTCCGGAAGCACTGGAAGTGCCAGGTGTGTGGGAGCACGGGGCCCACGTGTCAGGAGACTCCGGTAGCTCCAGGAGGCCGCTCGTCATGCCGGACACACAGACCCGGGCATCAGGCCAAGCCGCAGAGCCGGACCCAGCAGCAGAGCGATTCCTTCTCTGCTGGTTCCGGTCTGTTCCCCTCACAGGTTTCCTAATGCTGCAGACTCAGTCCCTGGAGACTCGGAGGCCCCAGGCCACAGCACAGGGCTGGGCTCAAAGACAAGCACCCCAGGGAGGCGTGCAGGACGGGACTCGCCCAGCTCGAGAGGCAGCACGAAGAATTCCAGGGGAGCCAATCAGTTCCTCTCGCACTGGGGGAAGAAAGCTGGGACCCGGGTTTTCCCTGCCTAGCATCTAGCAAGTCCTCCACCGTGCTGGACGGCCCGTGGCCAGGCTGCCCAGCTCCTGAGGGGCTCAGGTGCTCTCTCTCCCAGCAGATGGAGGTGGACACACGGGTTGGGGGGTGACGAGGTGGAGGGAGGGGGGCAAGTGGGGGCAGGACTGCAGCACCTCTTTAAGCCGGTTCCCCCGAGCTCCGCTTCCGACACCGCCTCCTTGTGGTGGATCTTCTCACTGCGCGCCTGTCAAGGAGGGTAGACAGGAAGGGTCAGCGCTGGCCACCAGGGTGCCAAGGAGGGAAGAGGATGGGAGGCCAGGCTTGGGGCTGCCCCCGGACCTCCCAGCCCCAAGTGTCCTCATCCGTGTAGCAGGTACGATGACATCAGCAGTGACCGGGAGTGCCACTGGCCACAGGATAGAGACCCCAGGGCTGAAGGGCCACCGTGTGAGGGTGTGACCTGGGGGGCCCGCCCCCCGCCCGGTTAGCCAGCTCCTGTGCCATCCCCCACGAGCTGGACTCTGCAGTCCAGCCAGGGCCCAAGACAACCCCGGCAGCAGGGACTCCACTCACCTCCTTCCAGCTGTTGTCCTGCTTCTCCAGGTCCGAGTGCTTCAGGGCCCAGGGGTCGGCAGCCTTCTGCAGCTGGGCGGGGACCAAGAGGGCAGGTGAGTGGCAGGCACCGCTGGTGAGCCCGGCCCCACTCAGGGCAGGGTCCTACCAGGCTCTGCCACTCAGAGAACCTACACCATGGACCAGGAGCCATCGTCTCAGTGGGCAGCACTGAGCCACCCCCGGGGTGGGGGAGGCGACTGGGAAAATGGAAATGAGATGACCGTCCTGCAAGCCTCCCGACTGTGTCACTGCATCCAAGGCAGTGTCCGGTCACGCTGCAGTGCGTGCAGTGGCCAAGATGGCCACACAGCAGCTCTCTCACATCAGAGTGGCGAGGAGAAGTCCCAGGGATGCCCAGCCCTGCTCCTCTGTGGTGGCCATCGCTAGAGGACCCCACACTCCTTCCCTCTGAGCCACGAGGCTCCCTCTAGCTCTCTGGCTCGCCACCCTCTTGAAGCCCCACAGCCTCTAGGGGGCACACGATGGAACCCACTTGCAGGCACACGTTGGTGAATTGAATCCACACAGCAACCGCATGAAGTAGGTGTAACTGTGCTTATTCCCATTTCCCAGAAGAGGATCCAGACAGGAGGCGAGGAACCTGCCCACGGCCGGGCAGCTGCATGAGCCGAGACAGTGTGGCAGATCCTGTGGCTCAGTGCGCCCCCACCCTGCACCCCAGTCTGAGCCATCTGTCACTGCAACCTTCTCTGGGCAGTGGGGATGCGTCACTGACAGACAAAAGGCCAGGCCAAGTGGGGGGCGAGTTCCTGTTTATACTCCTAAGCTTACCAGGGGAGCAGGCTGAGGGTGGAATTTGCCAGAAAGCTGCCCTTTGCTTGGCTTCTTCTCCTTGCCTGTCCTAGCTTCCCCCATCCCGTAACAAATCACTTGCACCCCAGCTATGCAGCCCAGTGTGGCTCTCCCAGGGCCGCGCCCACGGGAGCACTCCAAGTGCCACGTCCCAGAAAATGCTGTTCTGAAAGAACTGCGAAGTTTGGCCTAGGATCGTTTCAGACTGATTGGTTTGTCTGTCTGAAAGGCAGAAACGGAGAGAGACAGAGAGATTCCTCTCCTATCCTGTGGTTCACTCCCAAAATGACTGCAACAGCCCAGGCTGGGTCAGGCGGAAACTAAGGGCCAATAACTCAATCTAGGGCTGGCACTGTGGTGCAGTGGGTTAAAGCCCCAGCCTGCAGCACCGGCATCCCATATGGGCACCGGTTCTAGTCCTGGCTGCTCCTCTCCTGATCCAGCTCTCTGCTATGGCCTGGGAAAACAGTAGAAGATGGCCCAAGTCCTTGGGCCCCTGCACCTGCATGGGAGACCTGGAAGAAGCTCCTGGCTCCTGGGTTGTATCAGCTCAGCTCTGGCAGTTTGCAGTCATGTGAGAAGTGAACCAGCGGAATGGAAGACCTCTCTCTCTGGCTCTACCTCTCTCTGTAACTGTTTCAAAGAAATAATTCTTAAATAAATAAATAAAAAGAACTCAATCCAGCTCTCCCATATGGGTGACAGAGACTCTAAGACTTGAGCTATCACCTGCTGCCCCCTGGGGTGTGCGTTAGCAGGAAGCTGAAATTGGAAGCAGAGCTGAGACTCAAACCTAGGAACTCTGATATGAGTCCCAAGCAGCATTTTAACTGCTGCACCAAATGCTTCTTTTATGGATAGGAACTTAGTCTAAGGTGCAAAGGGATCTGCTTTCTACCTGGTCCAGGGAGTGTTCAGGGCCCCTGTATCATGAGGCACAGGCCCCTGGTGCGCGTGACCTTCAGGGCCACTCCGGCCTGTGGGGCAGTGGGCAGGGCTTGGGAGTTCTGGCCTTGTCCCTCACTCGCTTTACAATCCTGAGCAAGTCAGTTTGCCTTGGTCTCCTCATCTGAAAATGATATTTAGTGACCGTGACCAGGCGAGGCTGCCAGAGACCTTCACCTGCATCAGAAACCAGAGAGAAGCACAGCACGTTACGCCGGAGGCTGGTGGACACGTCTAAGACACAGCAAAACAGGCCCTTCTCCTCCTTGTGCTGGTGGGAAAGCAACTGGTCAAGGCCGTGCAGGAGGGGCCGGCGCTGTGGCGTAGTGGGTTAAGCTGCTGCTTGCATCCCATGTGGGCGCTGGCTGGAATCCCGGCTGCTCCACTTCCAATCCCGCTCCCTGCTAATAGCCTGGGAAAGCAGCGGAAGATGACCCAGGCCCCTTCACCCACATGGGAGACCTGGAGGAAGCTCCTGGCTCCTGACTCTGGCCTGGCCCAGCCCTGGCTGTTGTGGCCATTTGGGGAATGAATCAGTAGATGGAAGACCTCTCTTTCTCTCTCTCTCCCTCTCTTCTTCCCTCCCTCTCTCTTTAACTCTGTTTTTCAAATAAATAAATAAATCTGAGGTAAAAAAACAGCCTCCATCAGCTATGAATGCATGCGATGCATCTGCCCTTGAACTTGGCCACTTCACTTCCGGGAATCCATCCTACCAAGGATGTATTCCTACGTGTGCAGGAAAAAATGTGCACGACGATGTCCACTGAGGCACTGCTTTTAACAGCAAGAAACTGGAAACGATTGTGTCAGTGTGGAGGAATAAATTCTGGTTTCTCTAATCTAGGAGTGCCAAGCACAGCGACACTGACCGAGGCCTCTGCACTCTGCTGTGAACAGCTCTCCACGGAACAGGCAATGAGTGAATAATGCAGACATTATAATTCCATCAATGATACAAAGTAGACAAAAAAACCCCTCCAGGGATATAAATTTAAATAGCAAGGCGGGACTGTCACTGTGGTGCATTGGGTTAAAGCCCTGGCCTGAAGCTCTGGCATCCCATATGGGCGCCAGTTCTAGTCTGGGCTGCTCCTCTTCTGATCCAGCTCCCTGCTATGGCCTGGGATAGCAGTAGAAGATGGCTCAACTCCTTGGGCCCCTGCACCTGTGTGGGAGACCCGGAGGAAGCTCCTGGTTCCTGGCTTCAGATCGGTGTAGCTCGGGCTGTTGCAGCCATCTGGGGAGTGAACCAGTGGATGAAGACCTCTCTCTCTGTCTCTACCTCTCTCTGTAACTGTCTTTCAAATAAATAAAATAAATCTTAAAAAAATTAGCAAGGGGCCAGCACTGTGCCACCTGTGATGCCAGCATCCCACGTCAGAGCCGGTCGCAGTCCCAGCTCCTCTGCTGCTGACCCAGCTCCCTGCTGATGTGCCTGAGAAAGCACCAGACGACGGCTCACGTATGAGGGCCCCTGCTTCCCGGGTGGGAGACCCGGATGGTATTTCAGGCTCCTGGCTTTAGCCTGGCTCAGCTTCAGACTTTGTGGCCATTTGAATAGTGAACAAGTGATGGAAGATCTCTGTCTGTCCCTTTCTGTCACTCTATCAAACAAATAAGTAAATCTTTACAAAAATTAGATTTACATACCAAAAAAAGGGAGTTAGGCATCCAGCCTGGCAGTCAAGAGACCAGTTATGCTTGCATTGCATATCCGATTGTCTGAGTCTGACTCCCAGCCCCCTCCCAAGTCCAGCTCTGACCAGCGCAGATCCTGGGAGGCGGTACTTAAGTGCTCGGGCCCCTGATAACTCAGGGGAAATCTGGACTGAGTTCCCACCTCCTGGCTCTGATCCCAGGCCGGGCTCAAGCCTTGGAGGGCGTCTCCCTGTCTTTTGAATAAATAAGTCAATACATATATAAAAAATACATATAAATATATATAATACATATAAAATGTATGCTTTTGTAATACAAGTATCCGGGTCTTATATAAGACGAAATGTTGACTCATGTAATTAGAATAAAAGGTAAAAGAAAGAGGGGATGACACTGTGGTATAGCGGGTAAGGCCTCTGCCTACAGTGTCAGCATCCCACCCATATGGACACTGGTTCGTGTCCAGGCTGCTCCTCTTCCAATCCAGCTTCCTGCTAATGGCCTGGGAAAAGCAGCAGAAGATGGCCCAGTGTCTGGGCTCCTGCTACCCACATGGGAGATCTGGATGAAGCTCCTGGCTTCAGCCTGGCTCAGTGCTGGCCATTGTGGCCATCTAGGGAGTTAACCAGCAGATCAAAGATCACTCTATGTCTCTTCCTCTCTCTCTGTAACTCTTTCAAATAAATCTTTAAAAAAATAAAAAATAAAAATAAAAGGGAAAGAGAGGAAAAAGTAAGGGCAGGTGTTTGGCGTAGCAGGTTGTCACTGCTTGGGATGCCTGCATCCCATATCAGAGTGCCTGGTTCAAGTCTCAGCTACTCTGCTTCTGATCCAGCTTCTTGCTAATGTGCATCTTTGGGGGAAGGGGGCTTTCCTATCCCCTGTACACCAGGACTCCAGTTTTCTCACAGGAACCACTCTTGGGTCCTCCCTCTTTGTTCCTGGATTTTGATAGGCTCCAGGAATAGGCACATGACTCACACTTGACCAATCAGAGCCCTTATGGAAAAAGGCTCTGTTTCACGGCAGCTGCTAACTGTGAGGTGTGAGCTTGAGGGGCCAGTCCTGCAGCACAGTGGGTTAAGTGCCATCTGCACTGCCAGCCTCCCATATGGATTCCGGTTGAGTCCTGGCTGCTCCACTTTTGATCCAGCTCCCTGCTAATTTGCCTGGGAAAGTGGTGGAAGATGGTTCAAATCCTGTACCCACATCAGAGACCCGGACGAAGCTCCTGGCTTTGGTCTGGCCCTGCCTTGGCCATTGCAGTCATTTGGGGTGTGAACCAGCAGATGGAAGATCTCTCTGTCTCTCGCTCCAATTCTGACTTACAAGTAAATAAATCTAAAAAAAAATGATATGAGCTTGAAAGTAACAGTGGCCATATTTGGGGGTAGCTTGCATAAGAGAAAGGCTAACATAGACAAGCAGCTCTGAGCAATGGAGGCAGAGAGAAAGGCCTAGACCCTCCTGCATTCTCTAAACACCCCAATTCTTCTGGACCTGAAAGCAGGACCTCTTTGTCTGTGCACCTGGTCCAGCTGGACTGATGGAGACCTCCTTCTGGACTTTCCTATAGTGACTCTCCTCTGCAGTTCAAACCAGTGTGGGGGTCAGCGCTGTGGTGTAGCAGGTAAAGCTGCCACCTGGGTGCTGGCATCCCACATGGGCGCCAGTTCAAGACCCGGCTGCTCCACTTCTGATACAGCTCTCTGCTATGGCCTGGGAAAGCAGTAGAGGATGGCCTGAGTCTTGGGGCCCCTACACCCATGTGGGGAACCCGGAGGAAGCTCCTGGCTCCTGGCTTCGGATCGGCACAGCTCCAGCCGTTGTGGCCATCTGGGGAGTGAACCAGTGGATGGAAGACCTCTCTCTCTCTCTCTCTCTCTGCCTCTCTGTAACTGCCTTTCAAATAAGTAAGTAAATGCATGAAGCCCGGCGTGGGCAGGGCCCGGCCGCACCTGACTTAGGCGGTTCTGCAGCTCCTTCACCTGCTGTTCCACCTGCTGCTTCTCGCCCTGCAGCCGCTCCACCAGCTGCAGCTTCTCCTGGCTCCAGTTCCGCTCGCTGATCTGCAGCTGCCGCGTGAGCTCCATGACGGCGCTGTAGGACTCGGCCAGGAGGTGCTGCTGCTCCTCGCGCTCCCTCTGCAGCGCTGCCTTCCAGTCGGGCCCTGGCCGCTCCCCAGCCCCCTTCCCCGCCTTCAGCTCCATCTGCGGGAAGCAGCAGACCGCAGCTGGCACAGGCGGCCCCTCCCCGGCCTCCTGCCCCTCCCGGACCCAGCAGAGGGGTAAGAGGAGAAAGGTCTCCTGGGAAGCCCCCTCACCCAGGAAGCCTGCACTGATCTCCCCACTCAGAACGACCCCTGCTCTCAGCAAGGGTTCCGGCGCTTCCTACAGGCCCAGCTCTGAGCTGTGCGCTTTGCAGGCCCCAGCTCTGGATCCTCATGGAAACTCGGCAAGGAGACAGCTGCCGTCTGCTTCCTACAGAGCACCAGGAGCTCTGGTGGGCTTCCGTCCCAGAGCTGAGCAGCAGGATGGGCTCTGGTTCACAGGGAACAAGCTCCATCTAGGACCTCACCTTGTCCCCCACAAGCCCTGCTTGGGGACATCCCAGCCACCATATGAGTCACTCCAGCACGGTGGCCCTGTGGGCCCCAGCTCTCAGGCTGGCAAGAGGCAAAGGTGCCCCCGCCCCAGCTCAGCAGCCCCACCCGCAGGCTCTGGGCCACATGGTAATCCCTTGGGGCTGGTCAGGTACCTAGCAGGAGAAGCACCTCCAGGGGTGGGGGATGGGGACAGTGGGAGCAGTGGACACTGGGATGTGCACACAGAGGGACTGGGGACAGTAGGAGCAGTGAACACTGGGATCTGCACACAGAGGGACTGGGGACAGTGGGAGCAGTGGACACTGGGATGTGCACACAGAGGGACTGCGGACAGTGGGAGCAGTGAACACTGGGATGTGCAGAGGGACTGGGGACAGTGGGAGCAGTGGACACTGGGATGTGCACACAGAGGCACTAAGGGCAGTGGACACTGTGAGATATGCAGATAGGCAGAGCAACAAGGAAGGGGACCTGGTATCCCCGGGAAGAAGCCAGGAGCCCTTAACAACTGGGAAGAAGGTGGGATTGGGGTTGTGGGGAGCCAGGGGCAGAGGCCTGGTGAGTGGGGGTCTCATGTACCACTTAGCAGCTGGGTGACACTGGAAAGAAACTGAGTTCCCCTGTGCCTGTTTTGCGTTTGTCCAGCCTGGGAGGGTGGGACCTTCACCCAACTCCAGGATTAGAGGAGGGGCTTGGGGAGGTCACCAGGCCTGGCTGAGGTCATCAGGTGGAGCCTGTGAGTCCTGGGGGCTTTGTAGGAAGAGGGGAGGGAGGCGGTACACACACACTCCCGGTCTCCCGCCCTTGTGCTGCCTCAGGGCTGAGCCACTTCCCGCACCATGGCCCAAAAGAAGTCTCTTTCCTGCAGCGCTCACCCGGTCCGAGGCGGGGTGGCACCGGCAACAGGAATCTGGCTAACAGTAGGGACCGGCCCTCGCCCTTCCCACGCCTTCCTCCCCCAGCTCCAGCTCTCGGTCGCCACAGTCTCTGGGGCCCTCGCTGTGTGAACCAGGAAGGACTAGAGCCCTCTCTGGGCCATCATGCTGATCTGATGGGCGGCGGCTTGGCTGAGGACAAGGGGGAGCCGTGTGTGCCACGTGGGGGCTCACCTGGGTGGCGTGGCCCTTGAGCTCCGCCCGCTCCGTCTCCCAGGTGGCCTTGGCCTTGGCAAACTGCTGCTGGAGCTCCGTGAGGCCACGGCGCTCGTCCCGGAGCAGCCAGCACAGCTCCTTCAGCGTCACCTTCATGTCGGCCAGGGTCTTGATGTACTCATTGGGCTGCACACAGGAACAAGGCCTAGGTCAGGCGCCCGGACTGGGGGACCTCACCCCAGAGCCTGGCCTCAGAAGTGCCCGTGAGATGGGGAGGAGGAGCCTTGCCTTGGCTGCGTCTCTGTCCTGGTCCATGGAACCTCCTCCCTGTGCCCAGACCCACCCCAGCTCACGGTGCACAGCCCTGGGAGCCTGGTCCTACTGCTTTCTCTGATCTATGGCTTCAGGGTCCCTGACCCCAGGCCACAAAGCCCCTCCTGGTATGACCTCAGCCTTACGTCCTTCCCTCTACGATGTATATCCAAAGCCACAGCTAGTCCCAGGGGACTTTGCTATGTCCCTGCACTCCCAGTGTGACATCCCCCATTCTCTACTGGGCAAGCTCCTTCTCACCCTTCAAACCCCAAAACCAACCAGGCCCAGCATTGTCGTAGCTGGAATCTGCAGCACCAGCAGCCCATATGGGCGCCAGTTCAAGTCCCAGCTGCTCCACTTCTGATTCAGCTCCCTGCTAATGGCTTGGGAAGGCAACAGGTCCAAGTGTTTCTGCCCCTGCCACCCATGTAGGAGACCCTGATGAAGCTCCTGGCTCCTAGCTCTGGCCTGGCTCAGCCCTGGCCATCACAGCCATCAGAGGAGTGAACCAGCAGATGGAAGATCTCTTTCTCTCTGTCTCCCATCTTTCTCTATAACTTTGACTTTCAAATAAGTAAATAGATCTTAAAAAAAAAAAAAAAAAACACACCACGGACAGTCTCTGTGTGACACCACCCCCTCCCCCCTAAATGGAACACTGGTCCCTCGTGTGGCCCTCTGTACCTGCCCTGCCATTCACCCCAGCCACCCTGTGCTGGCAGTAGCCCTCTGCTGCTCCAGTGCCTAGGGCAGGGCTCGGCGGGAGAAGCCCCAGGAAGGGATTGTGACTGAAGGGCCGGGACAGGAGCAGCGGAGGACGCACCGTGTTCTGGGTCCAGCTGTCCCCCGGGCAGGCCTTGTTATCCGAATGCTGGGCGTTTATCTCCTCTTCCTCCATCAGCAGGTACAGCTCCTTCATGCTGTTCACCTAGTGTTTAAAGCCACACTCAGGGGGCTGGTGGGTAAAGCCGCTGCCTGCAACACTGGCATCCCATATGGGCACGGGTTCGTGTCTGGGCTGCTCCACTTATGATCCAGCTCCCTGCTAATGGCCTCAGAAAAGCAGCAAAAGATATCCCAAGTGCTTGGGCCCCCACCACCCATATAGGAGACCTGGATGAAGCTCCTGGCTCCTGACTTCAGCCTGGCCCAACCCTGGCCATTGTGGCCATCTAGGGAGTGAACCAACGGAAGGAAGATCTCTCTCTAACTCTGACTTTGAAATAAATAAATAAATCTTTAACACAGACACACTCAGCAGGGCTCCAGCCTCCAGGGGAGGAGACTGGCAAGCAGCCAAGACAGAAAGGGGATTGCACAGCCAGGCAGCAGGAGGCACCCAAGCCCAGCTCTGACTCCCCAGACCTGAACTCTGGCCCTTGGGCACCATCTAGGCCAAGGACCACAGGACGGCCAGCCTCTGCTGCGCTCCCTCCCCCTCCCCCGCTACATATTTTCTTCTGCAAGGACCAGAAGGCATCCATCCTGGAGTTACTCAGAGGCAACCACGTGGACGGGCTGGGCCAAGGCAGGTGCTGCGGTTGGAACAGAAGGGCCACAGGCACCCTCGTGAGAGAGCAAAGGGCTGGGTGCAGACAAGGGACCCTTCCTGGGAAGAGGGGCTCACTGCTGCCAGATCTGGCCAGGAGTCCAGGGGCCGACCAGGGAGACCTGGGACTTGGCCCAGAATGGGCAGGAAGCAGAGGGAAGCTACTTTCTGAAAGTTGCGTAGTGACAGGTGCTACGGAGAAAGAGGGAGGCAGGACGGGGCTTGCACATGCTGTGTGCGGGTGGTAAAGGAGGATCATCCAAAGGCGGCGATACATGGGCCAAGTCTGCGGTGGGCGTTTGGTGCAGTGGTTAAGATGTCACTTGGCGACATTCGCAGCCCATGAATACCTGGGTTCAAGTCCTAGCTCCACTTCAGGCTCCAGCCTCCTGCACCCTGGGAGACACCCAGGTGATGGCTCCAGTACTTGGGTCCTTGACACACAGACGGCAGACATGGATGGAGTTCCTGGCTCCTGGCTCCACCTGGCCCACCCCTGGCCATTGCAGGCATTTGGAGAGCGAACCAAGACATGGAAGATGGCTCTGCCTTTCAAATCTGAGAATAAGCCGTGGAGACTTCCTGGGAGAGGGACCAGCGGGAGCAAAGGCCCCGATGTAGGAACAGGTCTGAGGAAAGCCGGGGAGGGAGGGAGAGAGGATGGGTAGTGATGCCCCGGTGGCCAGGCCCTTGCAGGGACTCGAGGGTGTGGATTGGGAGCCAGGGGAGGGTGTGAATCGAGGAGCGACGCGCAACAGAATTTCAGCTTTATGAGTTCTGTCTCAGCAGCCGCGCTGAGAGGTGGCAGACTCCAGGGCAGCACCAGAGCCCACCCTGCCCAGCGGCAGGGCGCCACCCACAGGGAGTACGAGCTGCACGCACCTCCTGTAGCCTCTGAGCACATGAGGCTCAGTGGCAGGGTGCGAGGGGGGCAGGGAGAGCAGCCAGGGCGGGACAGTAATGAGCCAGACAGGAAGTGATGGCGGTTAGACCAGGGGCAGGGGCCGGGGGGGGCTTGCATCTGCACAAGCGTGGAGGCAGAGTGGGCAGGACCCGGATTACAAGATGGGGTCTGTGAGGGAAACAGAAGGGCCGTGAGAGCCTCCGAGGTCTCGGCCTAAGCAGGAAGGAATCGCCATTAACTACGGGGTGAGCGGGTATGGGGAGGAGAACAGGTCATTCCTTGTTAAAGATGTAGTTACTTATTGAACGGCAGCGACAGACACAGAGAAAGATCTTCCATCTGCTGGTTCGCTCCCCAAAAGGCCAGGCCGATGGCAGGAACAGCAACTCCATGCTGGTCTCCAACAAGCACTTGGGCCGTCTTCCCGGGCCTTCCCAGGTGCATTAGCAGGGAGCTGGGTGAGAAGCAGAGCAGCCGGGACTCGAGCCAGCACTCTGATACTGGGTGTTGGCATCGCAAGCAGCGGCTTCGCCTGGCTTTGGATGCACTATTTGAAGGCTACCAGACACGCAAGGGAGCCTCGCAGGCAAAGCCTGCAGATCTGGGCTCCTCGAGACGCCGGGGCCGAAGCACCAAACTGGAAAATGCCACTGAAGCCACGGCCCGAGGGGCTCAGTGCAGGCAGGTAGAGGGATCTCTGAGTTAAGGCGGTGACTGACGTCAGGGAGGTGAGGAGGAACGGGCCAGGGGACGGAGGAGGAGCAGCCGGGGTGGAAGGAGAACAACAGTGTGCGCCTTGGGAGGCACGTGGGGGCGAGGAGAGGGTCTGTGCGAATCTACACCCAAGTCCACATGGGTCTGGCCCCGCAAGGCAACCACAGGCGGGACTCGATTCAACACATCCAGAGCGGGGTACCTGTTAAGCCTATGTGCTATAAATATCCACATGGCCCCTGGCAGCAAAACGGCTCCCCTCCCTGGACCTATCAGACATCTTTTGATGATGTCATAGACAGGTGCGTAACTCCTTCCCAGAGGCCTCAGCCAGGAGTGTTTGGAATTCACGGTCTTTCAGGATTTAGTAAGAGCGCACGGGACCTACGTTGAACACCGTGTAACAGCCCCGCAGGACCTGGAAGACACCCCGAACTCAAGCCGCTGTGTCTCCCCGACACCGAGGAGTGTGGATGGGCATTGCTGCTCCCCTCCCCCACCGCCCTGGCCCCAGGCCCAGGCGTACCTCGAGGAAGTCATCGCCCTCGCTGGGCAGGACCTTGCCCTGCCGCCAGCGCTTGAGGAACCACCTGAGCTTCATGAAGAGCAGCAGGAAGTTGTGCTTGAACTGCTGCGACTCCTGCACCAGCATGTTCTTCTCCTGGCTCCAGAACTTCTGCTCCAGCCGCCGCTGCAGGCTCAGACTCTGCAGCTCGAACTCCCGCCTCAGGAGCGCCCTCTGCTGGTCCTCCTTCAGCTGCCAGGCGGGAGACCAGAGCTGGAGCACGCCCAGTCCCACCCCAGCCCATTTCAGGCCTCAGACAGGGGGCCTGTTGTTGACCCCTGCTGGGGACGCCACCACTAGCAGCTCAGGTGTTGCCTGCTGCTGCTCCAGGCGGCAAAAACTCACCACCACCAGCAGCAGCAGCCGCAGCCGCAGATCAAAGGAGCAGGGATTCAAACCCAGCTCTGTTTGATAACAACACCCTGGCATCAGGTACTGCACGCCACACAGTGAGGAAGCTGCCAGGGTGAGTGATGAGGGCAGGAGGGGTGACCCATGTGGACAGTGAAGGGGACTGGGTGGAGGAAGCCAGGCCAACGTGCAGTGCCCTGGGAAGCAATGCCAGAGACCAGCAACCTGGGCAAACCACTCAGTTCTCTGGTTCTCAATTTCCCCATCTGTAAAGTGGGGACATCTCTCAGGGCAGAGCATCACGATTAAAGGACACCATGTGTGGACAGCATGTTGCACAAGTCAGGAACAGAGCAGGAGCTTCATAAATGCTGTCTATGATGGACCTCTCATCCGGACAAGCAGCCAGCCCTTTGGGTGGGAAACCGAGGCTCAGAGAGGAAACAGGACTGGCCCAGGGTCACATGGGCAGGACTCCAGCCTGGCACCGCCCAGGCACCATCACGAGTGTCAGCATATCCCAGCAGGGCCCTGGGCTCCCCGACATTCTCACCTTCTGATAACCCCGCCCTCAGTTTGGGCAGGAGAAGCGGAAACAGGGACGGGGACTGCTGGGCACCACCCACCTGCACCATCTTCTGGTTGAAGTTGTCAGCCTCCTCCTTCCGCAGCTGCCGCTCCTGGGAGAGCTGCTCCTGCAGGCCCCGCAGGCTGTCGTGGGCCTCAGCCAGCACCAGCTGCAGCTCCTTGATCTGGGAAGGAGGGGGAGGGTAAAAGTTGGGGCAGAGGATGAGCGTGGGGGCCAGCGCTGTGCTGCCACGGTTTCAGAAGCTGCTTGGGGTGCCGGCGTCCCCTATCCGAGTGCCAGTTCCAGCCCCAGCTGCTCCGCTTCCGATCCCGCCTCTGGCTAATGTGCCCGGGAGGCAGCAGAGATGGGCTCAAGTACTTGGGCCTCTGCATGCACACGAGAGACCTGGATGAACCCTGGGTTCAGCCTGGCCCAGCCCTTGCTGTTAAGCCATTTGGGGAGTGAACTGGCCAATGGAAGAGCTCTCTCAGCCCCAAGCCCTGCACAAACCTCCACCGGCATGGCAGGTGCCTGCGTAGCCAATGATACAGTAATTTGGCAATGGATGGCAAACCCATGAGCTGTGTCTTGTATACCTGTCCTGTATGAAAAATCCTAGCAGGATTTAACTTAAAAATCCCTGTCCTTTGTGGAATCCCCTGGCATTCAGAGTTCCACATGATGCTTGGCAATTGTAACTGCTCAGTGAAGGGTAGGCTGCAGGGGAGCTGGCGCTGTGGCTCAGTGGGTAAAGCCACCACCCGCAGCAATGGCATCCCCTGTGGCTGCTGGTTCAAGTCCCAGCTGCTCCACTTCTGATCCAGCTCCCTGCTAACAGCCCAGAAAAGCAGCGGAGGATGGTCCTGGTGCGTGGGCCCCTGCACCCATGTGGGAGACCTGGAAGAAGCTCCTGGCTTCTACCTGGCCCAGCCCTGGCTGTTGCAGCCATTTGGGGAGTGAATACACAGAAGGAAGATATCTCTTCTCTCTGTCTTTCTTTTCTCTATAACGCTTTCAAATAAATAAATAATAAAAGCACCTTTAAAAACAATAAGAATGGCTGCAGGAAACAATAATTAAACCAGGGAGGAAATGGTGTCCTCTGCAGCTGAGCCTGTAGAGATAGGCCTATTTCCTTTTCTCATAAAATGAAAACTAAGTATTGCATTCTCCCCCACCCGCTTTTTGCCATGGCTACTAGGAAGCTCGGATTCGCTCACTCAGAGTCTGATCCATCAGCTTTGAGGGAGCCTCTCCTCACCACTGCAGGCTGGCTTCCCAGGGGTGTGCAGAAGAGAAGGGGGCTAAGGTGGGGGGTACTGGGGTCTCTACGGTTCAGGAGTCTCGGGGACATCTGGCCCAGCCCACAGGAGCTTTTTCCTGCTTCCCATTCATGAGGAAGAGCCAAAGAGGCTTATGGGTAAGCTGGGTAGGGGCTCAGGCCACTCAGAGTTCCCCAAGGTGCAGAGAACTGTGGTTACTGTGGAGCCCCCGTCCAGGGCAGCCGCCCCCCGAGGCCAGGAGAGGTGCCCTCTTCCCCGTCCTCCCACAGCAGGGGCCAGGCTGCAGCTAAGGGCTCTCGGGTGCTCACTTCCGCCAAGAGCCCTCCTTGTACGGGAGAAAGCGGAAGAGGGGAGGCGGCGTGACTTAGCCACGATCGCCACCAGTATACAGCGGGGCCACAGCGGGCCCGAGCGGCCTGGCTGCAGAGGCTGCTGCCTCCCTGCTCCGTTAGGCGAGCTGTTAAATTCCCGAGCCACGTCGGCACAGAAGGAGAGACCCGCTTCTTCAGCTGCTTTTCTGCAAGCTTCCCTGGGTTCGATCACAGGAACAGCCCCAACTTCCTCACTTCCCTTTTTGCCCGGCAACCAGGAGGCCTGGAACCCAGTGAAATGCCCGAAACCTGTGTCATCCCCGCTCAGGTTCTCCGCGGTTCCCTATGCTCTGGGGAGGCCTCAGCCCCGGGCTCTCTCAGGCCTGACCCACCTCGGAGGCGTACGAGTCATTGTCTTCAGCTCGGAACGGCCGGAAGCTCCGGCTGGGGTCAGCTTTGGAGTCCAGGTCACCACTGCGGAAGGCCTCTCGGATCCTGGGCTCCCATTCCGGCAGGTCCCTGTAGTCAGGCGGCTGCACGGGGAGGTGCAGGCGGGAGAGACCCAAGACAACCATGGGAGGGGCCTGAGGCCTGCCAGGGAGACAGCCCCGCCCCACCCGAGCGCTGGGACCCAGGTGGGTTCCCTTCTCAGCCCACATGCAGCCCTGTTAGGTTAGGTTAGGGTTCTCCTGCCATCAGTGAGTGCTTGCCTGGAGAGGGAAAATACTGCTTTGTGGGTGTCTGTCTCATGCACAGACCGCTGGGTCCACCCACTCTGTCCTTCCACAGGTGCAGCCCCAGCTCATTCCTACTTCAGGAAGAACCACGGGCCAGCCTGCTTGCTTAAAAGTCCCGTATCAGGTCAGCAGAGTATAGATAAAGACATGACAGCACTGTGTAGCTGTTAAAAAGAAAACTAAATCTGGAAAGATCCCGCCCCTGCTCTCAGGACCAAGGCCGAAGCTCGCCATGCTGTCGGGGTCCAGCCTCGCCCTCCCCTCGCTCGGTTCCTTGGACACTCCGTGCTCTGATGCAGCTGGGCTTTCCCAGGGGCTGATAGCCCCATCTGTTCAGAGCCCTCTCCCCTGGAAAGCCACCTGCTGACCCCAGGCTCTAGGTCAGGGTCCTTGTGTAGAAAACCATGTAGTGGGGCAGGCGTCACGGCGCAGTGGGCTGAGCTGCTGCCCACACCCCGTGCCACAGCGTCTGAGATGCAGGCCCACCTCTGCTTCCCACCAGTGCACCTGGGAGGCAGCAGGGGGCGACTCAGGTACTTGAGTCCCTGCTACTCTCGCGGAGACGCAGGTGGAGTGCCTGGCTCCTGGCTTCAGCCTGGCTCAGCCTTGGGTATTGCAGGGGTTGTCACAGGGAACCAGTGGTCAGAGAGACTCTTGTCTCCCACTCTTTATCATTCTGTCTTTCAAATAAATAAATCCTTTTAAAAATGTACTTATTTCATTGAAAGGCAATGAGAGAGAGAGAGAGAAAAATACCTTCTACCCACTGGTTCTCTCCCCAAATAGCCACGTGGCCACAACAGCAAGGGTTTGGTCAAATCAAAGGCAGGACCCGGAACTCCATCAGGGTCTCCCACATGGGTGGCAGGCACCCAAGTACTTGGGCCACCCTCTGCTGCCTTCCCAGGTGCCTTAGCAGGGAGCTGGAGTGGAAGCAGAACAGCCAGGACTTGAACCACAGCAGGGGGCAGCTTCGCCTGCTGGGCCACAGTGCTGGCCCCTAAATAAATCTTAAACCTTGCTGTCCTCAGAGCCTCTGCTCAGTGGGGGAGCTTCACGTTCACGCACGGCATTTTGGTGTCGGGGGCCAGGGGAGCGGGAACCGTGCCTGTCTCTTTACTAAGTCCCCCAGCCCAGCACTGAGCGGGCACCCTAACAAAGCACCAGACGCCTTATGGGGGTAGCGCCGTGATGCGAGAGTAGCTATGACATCAAACCACTGGGGTGAGAGAACAGCACAGCCTGCTGAGGGAAGGTTTAGGGGGCACCAGGAGGAGGAAGTATCCCAGACCCCTGCCCCTGGACAGAGCACGTGGGCTGTGGCCACTGGTGACCGAGGAAGCAGACTTTCAACTGCATGTAATTTGTATGAATTTAAGTGGCCACAGGGGGCAGGGGCAATGGTCTTGAACTGTTAACAGAGGGGCCAGCAGGGAGTGGGAAGCAGGCGACCAAGCTTCCATCTCTTTACTTCCCACCCGTGGGAAGCTCTATTCACATATTACTTTTGCAATACTGCTGTGTTTGTGGTTGTTTTTGGACACATGCCTTTGCTTCTCACTCTTGTAAGCAGTATGCTACAGACATCAAGGCTGGAAGGTCACTACCTTGAGAAAGCCTAGTCTCTGTGCAAAAACACAGCCCCTCTCCCCCCCCAAAAAATTACAGCAGTCAAAAGGCAAAGCCAGCATCTGTCGACAGCAAAGGGTTATTTGTGAAATCTTGACTCAGCAGGATGGGGCCAGGAGTGAAATAAACAGCCGTGCCCCCGCCCAACAGGAGGCCGAGGGGAGAGAGCCAGGTGTGAGGGAGCTGCACCTCATGACCGGTGACAAAGCTCAGACACAAACAGCACAGGGCCCAGGGAGGGCTGCCTGCGGGGGCAGTCAGTGACTGCGCGGGGGCACGGGGCTCCCGTTCCCACGCTGAGTGACGATGATGGGAGTGTGTTCACCGTGGGAAAACGCAGGAGGCTGTGCACGAGCTTTGTGTCCTCCGTGCTACGGTTCGGTGAAAAGTTCTTAACAAAAAAAGCTAAGGGAAGCCCTACTTCTTTCTCCACGTCAGCTTACTGGCCAAATGGATGTTTGCAGGCTTATTTTTGCTTGTGTAATTGAGAACATGTACAAAAATAACAAATTTGCCTCGTGTGCAGTCTAAAGACTTCTGTGAACATGCGTGAATGGATCAGCTTGTTCTGGTCTCTGTTCGTATATAATTTTATCCTGAGAAATATAATTTGGGGGTTGACATTGTGGAACAGCAGGTTAAGCAACCACCGGCAAAGCCGGCATCCCATATGAGCACTGGTTTGAGTCCCGGCTGCTCTACATTTTTTTTTTTTTTTTTTTTAGATTTTATCTGGAAGTTAGATAGAGTTAAAGACAGTGAAAAGGAGAGACAGACAGGTCTTCCACCCACTGGTTCACTCCCCAAATGGCCACAATGGCCATCCGAAGCCAGGATCCAGGAGCTTCTTCTGGGTCTCCCACGCGGGTGCAGGGGCCCAAGGACTTGGGCCATCTTCTACTGCTTTTCCAGGCCACAGCAGAGAGCTGGATTGGAAGTGGAGCAACTGGGACTAGAACTAGCACCCATATGAGTTACTGTCACCACAGGCGAAGGATTAACCTACTGCGCTGTGGCGCCACCCCCTCCCCCGCCCCCGGCTGCTCTACTTTGGATTCAGCTCCCTGCTATTGCACCTGGGAAAGCAAGGGAAGATGGCCAAAGCACTTGGGCCCCTGTACCCACATGGGAGAGCTGGATGGAGTTCCTGGCTCCTGGCTTCAGCCTGGTCCAGCCCCAGGTATGTTGGCCATGTGGGGAGTGAGTCAGTAGATGGAGGAGCTCTCTCTCTCTCTCTCTGGTCTCTCCCTCTTTCTCCATAACTCTATCTTTTAAATAAATAATCTTTTAAAAAGGAAAGAATACACAAAATATATTTCTAGTCTTGCAATTTTGCAAAGTGCTGCTAAGCCTGTGAAAGCACCCTCAGGAAGAAAAATATATCTCTGCTGCCTTGGTATTTCTTGTCTCAGTAATAATGCACTTGCCTTCCGGGTTCCTAACCAGGGTTCACACTAGCAGAATGACTGTCAAGCTGAACAAGCACCACTAGGGCTGCTGTGTGTTCCTACGTGCTCGTATTTCTTGTTCCCACCAAAAAACAAAAATCAATTAAAAGTTCAACAACAACAAAAGCAAGAGGGCACGGCTGGCACCGCTTACCTGGAAGTCGGAGCCAAGGTCTTTGGCCACCAGGAGCTCCTTGGAGGGCCCCTGGGAGCCCAGGGCGGGCAGCGCCGGGAAGGGCTCCGGGGGCTCCTTGCCCGCGCTCCCGAGCCCCGCGTCCGCTTTGCGCGTGAAGGCGTTGAGCTCCTGCTGCAGCACGCTCAGCCGCACCAGGACGGCGTGGACCAGCTTGGCGTCACGGGGGCCCTCGCTGTTGTCCGGGCCCTCGTGCAGCCGGAAGTCGGCACACTCGTTGTCCAGACACAGCCGGAGGCCCGCCGAGAAGCCGTTGGCGTCGGCCACCAGCACGTCGATGGCCTTGCTGAGCAGGGCGGCCTGCTCCCGGAGCCCCGGCAGCGCCTCGGCCTCCTTGTGCGCCTGGCCGGGCGGCGCGGGCACGCACTGCGCCGAGTCGCCGGCCTCGGCGTCCGTCTCCAGCATGGGCCGCGTGCTCTGGCACGAGGCCAGGTCGCAGCGCTGCAGGTTGGACAGCAGCACGCGGTTCTCGTACTGCAGCTTCTTGACCTTGCCGCTGAGCTCGCCGATCTGCAGCTTGGCGGCCGCCAGCTCCTCCTGCGAAGGCTCGCTGAGCACGGAGCAGCTGTCCTCGGACAGCGTCACGTCCAGCTCGTGCTCCGAGCGGTACTTGGCCAGCTCGCCCAGCAGCAGCTTGTTCTGGTCCTCGAGCTCGGCCGAGGAGCGCCGCAGCAGCTCGGCCTCCTCCTCCACGAACTGCAGGTGTCGCCGCAGCTCTGCCAGGCTCTCCCCGCACTCGCCGGCGCCCAGCGCGGAGAAGGCCAGGCGCGCCTCGGGCCCCGCGCAGCCGCCGCCGCCGCCGCTGTGGTCCTTCATGTCGTCCATCTCGGCGCGCAGGCCTCGGTTCTCCACCTCCAGCTCCACGATGCGGCGGCTTAGCAGGTTGGCTTCCTCCTCCACCAGCTTCAGGTGCACCTTGAGCTCGGTCTCGCGCGAGTGCGGCGCGTCGGCCAGCTCCTCCGCGGACAGCGCGGCGTCCAGGTCGCCGTAGAGCGAGCGGTACTTGAGTAGCTCCTCCTTCATGCCGTCGTTCTCCTTGGCCAGCTTCGTGAGCTTCTTGCACATGAGGGCCGACTCCTCCTTCGCAAAGTGCAGCTGGCACTTCAGGTCTGCGCTGTCCTCCTGGGACCCCAGACACCACCCAAGAGAATTAGTGGGTGGGGCTCAGCGCCAGCCCCAGCATTTCCGGGAGTGCTAACTACATGCTGGGAACAGGGGGATGAATCAGATGCAGCCCTACACCCCCAGGGAGCTGGAGGAGTAAAGAGGGAGCCCCCCCACATAGCCCCCAAAGGCCCGGCCATAGACCCCTGAGAGCAGGTGACATTCCAACAGGACGAATGCCACTGCCGATACCACAGCCATTGCTACTGTGGCTTCCTCGTCTGTAACACTGCATCCTGCACAGAGCCACGGAGAGGATTAAATGAGATACTATATAGAAAGTGCCCAGGGCTGGCGCACTGGGATAGTGGGTAAAGCCACCCTCTGCAGCGCCTGGTTCAAGTCCTGGCTGCTGCACTTCTGATCCAGCTCTCTGCTAATGAGCCTGGGAAAGCAGTAGAGGATGGCCTACATGGGAGACCTGGAGGAAGCTCCTGGCTCCTGATTAGCCAAGCCCCGGCCATTGCAGCCATTTGGGGGAGTAAACCAGCAGATGGAAGACCTCTCTGTCTCTCCCTTTCTCTCTTTGTAACTCTGCCTTTCAAATAAATAAAAAGGAAAGTGCCCAGCCCCTAGGAGTTGACAGTGGCCTGCGCCTGGCCTGTACAACAGCACCTGATCGACTCCTTATGACAAGGCCACCAGATAGACAGGTGAGGAAACCAAGGCCAGAACAATTTAAGTTATTGCTCCAATTACACAGCAAGCAAGTGGCAGAGCTGGGTTCAAGCCCGAACCTCTGACTCTGGACCTCTGGAGTAGACCCACACTGTCGGCTACATCAGCCTGCTGTTGCCAGGGGAGTCAACATGCGAGAGCCCTGGGCTCGGGGGGTGGCTTGAGGAACTGCAGTGGGCAGCGGGGAGACCGGGACGGGGAGAGATGGGTGATCCCCAGGCCACGTGGAGTGGGCTGGGCCTTCAGACTCCGGCCTGCCTGCGGGGGCTGCCGGGACACACCTGCACCGAAGGCTTCTTGTCCGTCTTCCCCAGGGAGCGGGTTCCTCTTTTCTTCAAGGAATGCTGGAGAGAGAGAGAGAGAGAGAGAGAGAGAGAGAGAGTGTGAGTCAGAGCTGAAATCTCGCAAAGTGATGCACTTCCAACAGTCTGGATGCCTGGGGCCCCCTGAGGGTCCCACTGCCACTACTGAGCCTCAGTGGCCCTCGAGACCACCCAGGATGCTGCACAGGCACCAGTGGGCACAGGCAGGAGCATGGAAATGACCCTGAACACACCTGCTTCGGGCTCCGCCTCCCTCCCACCCCCACAGGCTGAGCCACTTGCCCTGGGCCAACACTTGGAATTCTGGGGATGTTCTGTTCACTCATCAGAGGCCTCCTGAGCCCCCACTCCGTGCCAGGCACAACGAGGTGCAGAGAACACAGCAGTGAACGAGACAGACTGGGGGCCAGGGGGCGGGGGATGCAGGAATGATGCACTCGTTCCCCCAGCTAAGACTTTCAGCTGAGCATTCCTCCCAGTGGTGGCCAGCGGCCGAGGGAAGCCGCCTTGTCCAAGGTCACGTGCACTCGTTCGATGAAGCCCACACCCAAGTTCTGGTCTGTGCCCCGTGCTCAAAGCCAAAAAGGCCTCCTGGCTCCACAGCTCCCAGTGGGATCGGTCACAGTGCCTCTTCCTCTGCCTCACTCCTGCAGGCACTGTTCCCTACACTCGCTCTCCATCCCAGGGGGAAGCCTGCCCACAGAGGCTGGACATGCAGGTGGGAAGCTTAATTCAGAAGGAAGACTAATAAATGAGACACATGTGGGCACAACAAACAACAATTACACAAGAGGTTTAGGAACAGCCCTGAGAGACTGATGATAAATGACTCAAAAAATCCCGAAGCAGGCGGCATGGGGCTGCAGCAGGGGAAGCTACTGTTTGGGACACCTGCATCCCACATCCAAGCGCCTGTCCCAGCTCCTCCACTTCTAATCCAGCTTCCTGCTGATGTACATCCTGGAGACAGCAGCTGATGGCTCAAGTACGTGGGTCCCCGCCATTCACGTGGGAGACCTGGATAGAGTGCCTGGCTCGTGGCTTCGGCCTGGCCCAGCCCCAGCTGTTGCAGGCTTTGGGGGAGTAAATAAGTGAGTGCAAGATTTCTCTCTCTTGCTCTCGCTCTAGCTGACTTTCAAGTAGATGAAAAATGAAAATAAATAAACATTTAAAAAATCCAGAAGCAAGGGCAGGCATTGCTATAGTGTTTGTCACCTGCCTCGACCTCCTGATTCCAGTTTCCTGCCAAGGCAGACCCTGGGGGAGGGTGGTGATGGCTCAAGGAATGAGGTTCCTGCCCCCTGCATGGGAGACCTGGATTGATTTCCTGGCTCCTGGCTCCGGTCTTAGCCCAGTCCCAGCCATTGTGAGCATTGGGGGAGTAACCAGCAGATGATAACTCAATCTCTCTTCTCTCTCTCTGCCTCTCAAATAAGTTAAAGAAAAGGGAAAGTTTAAAAAATCCAAGATAGAGGTTTACCCTGATTTAAATCTTATACAATGGGTAAATGTATCAAAACATCATAAGGGACCCCATAAATATGTAGAATTTTAAATGTCAGTGAAAAATAAATCAAGTTCACTTAGTATACTGGGAAGAAAATTTGCTTACACAAATTCTACATGGAAAAAAACACCCTAAGTGGGGCTGGCACCGTGGCTCACTTGGTTAATCCTCCACCTGTGGCGCCGGCATCCATATGGGCACTGGATTCTGTCCCTGCTGCTCCTCTTCCAGTCCAGCTCTGTGCTGTGGCCCAGGAAGGCAGTGGAGGATGGCCCAAGTGCTTGGGCCCTGCACCCCATGGGAGACCAGGAGGAAGCACCTGGCTCCTGGCTTCGGATTGGCGCAATGCCGGCAATAGTTGCCATTTGGGGGGTGAACCAACGGAAGGAAGACCTTTCTGTCTCTCTCTCACTGTCTAACTCTATCTGTCAAATACGAGAGGTGAGGAGAGGAGAGGAGAGGAGATAGAGGGGAGGGGAGGGGAGGGGAGGGGAGAGGAGAGGAGAGGAGAGGAGAGGAGAGGAGAGGAGAGGAGAGGAGAGGAGAGGAGAGGAAAGGAAAAAAACACCCTAAGGAAAACTGTGTAAGTAAATGACAAAGTAGGAGAAAAAGTTCAATTTGGAACCAACAAGGGTTGAGACCCTGAGTGCATAAACAGCTTCACAGAGAATCAAAAGGCCAAGGCCCCAGCGGAGGCTGTGCCAGAGCAGGAAAGACGGTGAAGAAGGAAGGAGGGTGAAGGGACCCCAAGCACACGAGGGTGCTCTGCCCACCCTGACGCAGAAGCGCAGAACAAAACCGCACCGAGACACCTTTCTCACCTGTCAGACCGGCAAGGGCACATCTGACAGCGGATTTTATGGATGAAGCTAAGAAAAACGAGAGCAGGCCCACGCTGCCAGCGAGAACGCGAAATGGCTCAAACCCTCCGGAGGAGAATTCAGTCTTGCTGTTTCAGTGTCTTGCTGTTTCCAAACTCCATCCCATCCATCCCATCCATCCCATCCCATCCACCCCATCCACCCCATCGCATCCATCCCATCCCATCCATCCCATCCATCCCATCCATCCCACCCCATCCCATCCCATCCATCCCATCCCATCCATCCCACCCCATCCCATCCATCCCATCCCATCCCATCCATCCCATCCATCCCATCCCATCCACCCCATCCACCCCATCGCATCCATCCCATCCCATCCATCCCATCCATCCCACCCCATCCCATCCATCCCATCCATCCCACCCCATCCCATCCATCCCATCCCACCCCATCCCATCCATCCCATCCCATCCATCCCATCCCATCCCATCCATCCCATCCATCCCATCCCATCCACCCCATCCCATCCACCCCATCCCATCCATCCCATCCATCCCACCCCATCCCATCCCATCCATCCCATCCATCCCACCCCATCCCATCCATCCCATCCCATCCCATCCATCCCATCCATCCCATCCCATCCCATCCATCCCATCCATCCCATCCCATCCACCCATCCCATCCCATCCATCCATCCATCCCATCCCATCCCATCCCATCCCATCCCATCCCATCCCATCCCATCCATCCCATCCATCCCATCCATCCCATCCCATTCCATTCACGCTGGCACAGAAGCCAGGCTGCTGGTGCTGCCTTTCTCAAAATTCTCCCGACACACGTTCCACACTCACCCTGATGGGGAGACCCACAGATCTAATCTAAGCGCCATTTAACTGAAAAAGGAGACGCTCAAAGACTTGCCTGACGTCTCAGGCAGCAAATCCACGACTGACTCAGGACCAGTTTTTGACACAGCTCTTCATGGAGGTCCAAAGACTTAGGGCAAAGTGTACCTCCACTAGCTCAGGGCTGCACAGCAGAATTAGGAATTACCTGGGAAACGCAAAAAAGATGCAAGGCCCCAGGTACCACCACACAGGTCTCAGGTGTCAGTATTGAAATGACTTCCCTGGAGATCCTAAAGTGCAGGGAGAGACAGGTAGAGGAACTTCCAAAGGGCTCTTGGGTTTCTCTTAACGCCCAGTCAATTCCTAGAGACCTTCTGAAACGCCAATGAGGCAGGAGGGCAGAGGCTGACGTTCCAGACGCTGGGGCCAGGGTGGGAGGAGAGCTGGCCTGAGGATGCGGCTCCTGGAGACACCTGGTGGCGTGGGCAGCAGCCTTCCAGACTGGAGAGAACCTGCCCAGGCTGAGCTGTTTCAGGGACCCCATGATACCGGGTGAACCCCTTCTTCTCCCTGAAACTCCATTTTCTCATCTGTAAAATTGGGCCATGGCTGAGGGACCAGAGCGCCCTCTGGCACTCAGACTCCCTGGAAGAAGGAAGCGAAGCCATGAGAGGCCAGCTAGGGGTCTCTAAAGGCGCAGAGGGGTCCCAGGCATCACACGAGGACGAGTGAGGTCATGAGGATTAAAAAGGACCGAGGGATGAGATCCACTGATGAGGTAGTCTCTCACATACCCTGTGAAAGGCAAGCAACCTGCTGAGCAAAACCCAACTAAGGCGTAGATGCAAACATGGCCACCCAGCCACGTGACAGGCTGTCACCCAGCCACACAACGGGCTGTCACCCCGCCACACGACAGGCTGTCACCCAGCCATGCAAAAGAGCTACCACCCAGCCACATAACGGGCTGTCACCCAGCCATGGAAAGGGCTATCACTCAGGCACACGCCCAACCTGGAGCACATCAGGTGAGGTCAAAAAAGCCAGGCACAAAAGGCCAGGTATGGTAAGATTCCAGTGACACGAAATGTCTAGAATGAGCAAATCCACAAAGACAGAACATGGGTGACCGGCTGTGTGGGTCAGTAGAGAGTAACGGAGAATGACTGTTTTGCCTTTTTTTTTAAGGTTTTATTTTTACTATTTGAAAGGCAGAGTTTTATACATACATACACACACACACACATATTGAGAGAGAGAGAGAGATTTTTTTTTTAATTTTAATTTTTATTTTTTGACAGGCAGAGTGGACAGTGAGAGAGACAGAGAGAAAGGTCTTCCTTTGCCGTTGGTTCACCCTCCAATGGCTGCCGTGGCCGGCGCGCTGCGGCCGGTGCACCGCGCTGATCCGATGGCAGGAGCCAGGAGCCAGGTGCTTTTCCTGGTCTCCTATGTGGGTGCAGGGCCCAAGTACTTGGGCCATCCTCCACTGCACTCCCTGGCCACAGCAGAGAGCTGGCCTGGAAGAGGGGCAACCGGGACAGAATCTGGCGCCCCAACCGGGACTAGAACCTGGTGTGCCGGCGCCGCTAGGCGGAGGATTAGCCTAGTGAGCCGCAGCGCCGGCCCGAGAGAGAGATTTTCTACATACTGGTTCACTCCCCAAATGGCCACAACAGCCGGGGCTAAGCCAGGCCAAAGCCAGGAACACAGAACCTTCTCCAGGTCTCCCACGTGGGTGCCGGGGCCCAAGCACTTGGGCCATCTTCCACTGCTTTCCCAGACACATCAGCAGGGAGCTGGATCAGAAGTGGGGCAGCCAGGTCTCAAACCGGC